CACCTATGAGCCTAAGTTATGTCCTTGAAATCGCAATATTGCAACAATTAAATCTTCCCCCAAAATTAAGGCCACTTGGGACCCATAGCAACATAGCAACGGACATCGTAGCGAGAATATGCGACAAAGTCACTCGTAAACAAATCCTCAGAATCGTTAACCTACCGTATTTATCACTTGGTTGTGGATACTCAGGTTCACTGTTTAAGTCAACCGGTCAAGCTAAAGGTACTCCGTGAAGCACCCACGCTATTTAGAACTCTGTCATGCTACTTTCGTCAGTTTTTAGACGATCCTTAGTTGGCTAAGCGATAGTTATTGCACTTTGACTCCAACTCCGACACATGTCTCGTATTTTGGACAACTGATTTGATGTTCTACTTTGTCTTTTACCTGAGCATAACAAATTAAGGGGCTACGGGATAAAAACTTGCTTTACACAGATATCAACATCCCTTCATCTTATTGATGGGACTAAATTCTTACGAATCCCCTTATTATCATCCCTTTGCTATTAATGTGGTCAAATGATTACCACGATTATCGAAGACTGCGACTATTTCTACCCATTTTGAGAAATTCCAGATCACGGGACTCCAACTATTCTGCGAAACTAGCTGGCCAGGTTGGTTGAACGACCTCGGGCTCTTTTCAAATCGGTTTCAACGATGTGAAAAGAGCCTGAGAATATATGCCTTACATCTGTTCAAGGATGTGTTTGTTCCTGATGGTATGAAGGGAGGACAGAGACACACAGTTACATCGCATCGCCTACCTGAAATCTTGTTCCCTGAAAATCCCCTTGCCGCTTTCTTATCCAGTCAGCACAGATAAAATAAACGTCGAAAGAGAAATAGCTTGGACTTAATAGACATATATATATTTGGTCCACTGCTTGATATGCAGGATGTTCTAAAGAAAGGTATTTGGTTACACCTTTTCGATTTAGTCTGCAGAACAAAGGTACGGTGGGAAACAACAACGATATGAACCCAAAACAAGCAAATAAGGTTAATAAGGCATGATTTAATGGCTTCGTCAAATTTCGGTAGAACTTTGCATCTGAATACCCCACATACGGGTATATATACTATTGGAAACACACTGGGAGGTATAAGACAGACTGATGGATATCCTGAAAAGTTCATTGATAGATGCCCAAAAGAAATGATCCCTTGCGATAACATCCAAACATTCCCGAACACAACTGTCTATATCAGTATATTTGTAAAACTTGGGCACTGTGGTAGTAAGTAATTCACTGTGTGATATATCTAATAAACAAACTTATATGGAACTGTCTATATCAATTCGCCACTCAAAAGGAGATAATGTACAAGAGGTAATTAAACGAGGACTCAATAAAGCTATCAAGAGAACTTATTACTCTGAAAAACTTGTCTTTCTTAACACCACCAAGTGAGTGCTTCAACGGTCAGAGAAAGACAAGTCGCAAATCTTTGGCACTTAAAACTGCGCATATCAGTTTGAGTATACTTGTGAAAGCAAATACATCGGTCGTACAGAAAGGCGATTGTCTATTCGCATGATGGAGCATTTGCTGAGATGGTTGAAAACGGCTGAATTCAAAGTGCCAAAAAGCTCAACGCATCTTGTGGACCACAGACATGGAATCGACTCTGTCAAGTCATTCACTGTTGTCAGCAGAAAAAGGAACAAGATGATCGCAATTACAGAGGCTTGTGCGATTAGAGATTATAAAGCAAGTCTCTGTGTCACTGATATAAGAATAAAACTTGGGCACTGTGGCAGAGCGTAATTCCATTGCGGGTAAATTTTATTTTGATAAATTCTCACAGTGTTATATAGTGATATTTACTGATGACGTTTCGAGCACAATTTATTGCTCATAATCATATCAAGGTAATCACACGACTTCCTAAATTCATTTATATAGTTCCATTGTTTTTCACTTGATTTGATTGGTAGTAATATTTTCCATATTTCGGGTATGAGTGGTGAGTCATTTCTATTGCATGTGTTGGGTGTAGGTAGATTCGATGAACAAGTATTCAGTAATCAACCTCTCTCTCCACCTACCTAGATTACCTTTTAGAATTTTAACCCTCGCCCACCTTATTGTGTGCATGCATTAGCACACAACACTTTCCGTCCGTCTTTTAATACCGCTTTCGTTGAAATTGAGTTGGTACACGTAAAATAATATTCTGATTTCCGAAGAGTTGTCTTGTGAGTACAACAAATTTTCATGACGCCGCAGTTGACAACCTCGAGACTGAATTCCAATGCACTTAGCCCTAAAAACAACCGAAATTCGGGAAGAAGCAACATGCCTCGTTAATTCCCACCGGAAATGCTTCTAAAACGATAGTGCCCTTTTGATGCAGGCAAGTGTGTGGTCTTTTCTAGGTAAGTTTGCGTGCCGCCGCTAACTAACCTGCAGTTTAACCTACTTGAATCCATTTGACGGAGATCGATTGGTAAAATGACGCACACAAAGTATGCTGACTTCTTCAGTTTAAAACGTTATTTCTTGTTATTCTTGGGAAATCTCAAAGAAGGCACTTGCATGACTTTTCAGATGAAACATTTCATTTTATATGAATAACTTCATCAGCTGATATATCAACAAAGCTTGAAAATCGTCGGCTTTCAAGGCTTCTCAAATCGTAAAAGAAATTAGAGGGTCTATTACAGAAGAGATAGGTATCAGTGGTAGCAAGGGGAATGGAAATGGGCTCTCCAGTTTATTAACAATAGAACGAATAATCCACTGTTTTTAATGAAATGACAAAGACGCTCACACTGAGGGTGTGGCTATGATAAGGTCACTAAGATAACTGAAAGGTCGCTTTAAGTGGGAATCAATCTCCTCCAGTATCATGGCAGTAGGATCCAACTTAAAAAGCAAGAAAGTTACAATTAGGCAATAGTACTCTCGTACCACTAACGCAAACCTACTTGTGTAAACAAGTGCGATCAGTTAAGAAGACGCTGGCCAGATGGCGATATAGAAATTCTAGTTGGTAAAACAAATGAGGGGGAAGAATTGTCTGAAGATTTCTGCAAATTAATTGGTTTGCTGTTTGGAGATGATACGTGTACAAGCAGAAGGATATACATAGGGATACATGTATTTCGTCAAATGGACGCACCAAAAATCAGTCAAATAATGATTTCAGTCTGAAGAAGGTGAATTCAGCCTACTATATACAAGATAGAGAAGAGGAGCAGTTGTAGGTTCCAAATACTATCTAGTGCAAGTAACCCTGATGACCTAGTTGACAGCATTGAAAAAGCCAGAGATAGACAATCATTTGACCTCAATGCCCATAAACTGAAGGACAAATATAAAAGGACACTTATAATGCAGTCTTTGGACTTCCCGAAGGTCTCGAATTCACCAGCAAAAAGCAGAGTGACTGAATGGATTTCTCTCAAATTTATCAAAGACAAAGCAAGAATATCAGTGGTTATGTGTAAGGCTTGCAGGTACTGGACGTTAGTTTCTGATTTGGCTTATGGGTACTTTTTTGAGCTCCTAAAATAAGGTGATTTGATTGTAATTAAATAGTTATGCCTTGTCGTGCTCCCGTCCATTCTCGAATATTACTAAGTTGCATCATTCTGAGAAGAGCACAAAATGCCGTGGTAGTATGAACAGTCCGGGACAAGCTTGGTGCAGTTATGTATCGCTAAGTACTATCATCGTTTACAACCTGTAATGGCCATCAACTTTCTATTTTGACTTCACACTTGAAAACGTTTTTGAATTCATCAACGATCAACTGGTTTGCAGGTTCTTCAACAATGAGGTGCACTACACGTCAAAAATTTATAAACCTCATTCATGCTGGATCCGAAAATAATAACAAATGAAAACTCACTGGCGTATCACCTGTGAAGAAAGGTGTGAGACAGAGATGCTTACTTTCACAGATAATCCTACTTGTGTTGTCCTCAATCTCATATTTCACTGTAGGGAGCGTAAAGACGAGTTTATATTGCACTGCAGGAATGGCTATGAACTTCGGGAATTCCACCGGTGACTTACGTTCCGTGTCTCACAAACTCAAAGATACGCATACAAAAAATCGGAAACATTGAAGGTATCAAGTAAGGTGAACATGAGAAAGACAGTTGTGAAAATATCATTAACTGAACGGATGAAGATGTCAAAGCCACCCCGGATAAGTTCAGGAAAGTAGGACAGACGCATGTTCTTCAAAAACTATTGTGAATATTTGAAACATAACGATTGAATCAAGGTTTTCATTACCACTGTCAAGTCAGAACTTGGAGAGCGTCATTGAATGCATTTTTGACAAGCTAAAAACTCTCAAAAACACCTTCTTGGTTAGGTCCTGAAGTTCAGGTGTTTTAGTGGAAAGGATAACTAAAAAGGAATCTTGGCAACGAACCGACCAAGAGCCGCATACCCAGTAAATACGCTAGAGGAAATCCACACGGAACAGATTAAGTCTAAGATAACCTCGAATAGAACTCCAGAAAGGAGTGCTGGCTTCTTGGAGTGAAAGTGAAGTGACTGTATCGAGAGAGGGGAGTGGAACTTTGCGAGCTACTATGGAGACATGAGGAAGTGATACGAATGAAAAGAGCCAATTACAATTGCGCTGCTAAGGCCATATATTCTACTTAGAACTAAGTGATGAGATAATAAAGAAAATATTATCCTCGTGTACCTATTTTGCCTGCATATTATAAGCGCTTAAGTGATGAATAGAAATGAGGTGACCTGCAAAGCTACCGACGAAATTTAAAGTGACAAGAGACGAAATATATTTGCCTGGATCATAGTAGTAAGTGCTATATTGCCATCACTAAGAAGTAACCGTGACAAATAATATCGAATTTTATCGATTTCCTTAGAAAAATGATCACAACGAGTGTAATAATAGAGAAATATCTCTCGATAGATAGCTTGTTTGTATGTTCTAGTTGATGAAATTAAAGGCGCTCAATTTGCTTGGACTTTCAAACTCACTAAACAGTTAGATATGGGGGAGTTTTGTTCAAAACCTGAGAGTGGGAATTCTCAGCCACATCCTAACGCACCAAACGGTGGAACTCAAAATAATCGTTCTAGGGATGGCAACGTTGTTAATGCTTCGACGGCATCAGCTGGCTTCCTATCCAATATGTGCGATACGATATCGCGCCTACAATCTGAAAGTCACTTACCTCCTAACTCTCTACCACCTGGGTCACGTATCGCAGTCAGTCCTGAACAAGCCTATGTCAATAATATTAATCGGAATGGTAGACCTGAAGTTTTGTCTGGCGCAGCCCCTCCGCATACATGTGAGTGCCCGTACCCAAGCTTACAACAATTCTAAACTTATTCTAACCTATGCGTTGATAATGCCTTTTTATGGTAAATGAAAATTTTTTCTACCCACTATGTTCTTAAATAACGCTGGTCGTGCTTAAAAATTGCCACTATGTGCTGAATTAGGTCTTTTCGTTCTGAAGTAATGCTAGTCAGTGCTTAATATGTTCTGTAACGGCTGGAACAACGCTGATAAGGAAACCCAGTATGTTCTGATCTACTCCTGAAAATGCCTAGAAAAAGAACACGGTGCTGAATTAGTGCCAGACATGCTGAAAACCAGCACTGAGTTCTAGTCTGTGCCATTAAACAAACCATTTCAGAACAGATTCAGAATTTACTCACTATAGGATGCAAGAATTATTTCAGAATTACTGAGATTTTATTCAGCATTATTGTAAGCTTGGGTATATCCACTCGAATATTATGTAGGATGCATCTTAGCCAGTCATCATTCATAGTGAAATTTGCATTGTCAACGAATTAGAAACTTTTGTAATTTGTCATTAGACTTCGCATACTAGATGCATATCTTTTATTTTTGACTCAGTCGTTCGGCATTAACATGGTTTCAGTAACGTAGGTGCTCCTTTGTTACTTCGAAAATACAAAGGAGTTCGGATTGAGAATAGATAACCGAACATCTTATATTAAAAATCACTAGTGAATGATTCATTTTCATGCTAAGAATTTAGTCCGGGTTTTCTGCAAACTAGTGGCATTATAAGAAACCGAATTTTTTTTGTATATTTCCTAGTTTATTCTTTTTTTCTTGAATTAGTTCCAGCTTTCCACATATACTAAATTTAGGTACCTGAACGACATCTTTATTCTTAGGACTTTGCTGCCATACATACTGTTTATCTACATATCTTTTCTTTCTGTATTTTGAAGTACTATCACGACACATTTTGCACTACGAAATCTAGTTGATTTTAACAGGCTACGTTTCAGAGACATAGATGCTTTGTTAGTTGTTTATCACTACTGTCCGGCTTCACAATGAAATATTAGGCTACCAGCTAGCTTCCGTATGTTGACTGCCATCATATTTATCCTCTGGAAAATGCAAGGGATATTTTTCCATTTGTGGCAGTCTAAGCTTCTTCCAATTCTCAAATACGCTATCTGCTTGTCAACTTCCCGGGAAGTGCGCAAAGGGTGCTTCGTGTTGTTTGTATGTTAGTCTGGTTCATGGATTTTAGAACCAAGTTTTTTTGTAGATTGGAGCTACAGTCTGCATTATTTGTTTGGAAGACACGAGCACATGAATTCATTCTGTGCGCCAAACGGTCGTTTCGCTGGACCGGAGTCTGTCGGTCGCGACTGTAGATGAATCCCATGTGGTGCATGAAGTTAGGCCGTCATCCATTATGTCGCATAATGTGTCCCGTCATTCAATTTTTAGCAATTCTCATCTATGAACAAGCTGATTAAATATAACTACCCAGATGGACATATCAAAATGCCTTCTTGAAAGTTTCCAGCCTGTTGACCTGCTTAGTATTTTAGCGAATATGTGCATCATTCTTGTTACCATAGACAGCATCTTATGAACGTTAAATGTCACGTCGAAAGATTACCTTCACTGTTTATTTTAGTTCTAGTATGTTTTTAGACTTGTAGTGGTTAATTAGTATCCGCAAGCGCGGATATAGACTTTCGATTCCTAGATAGTATTCATCCCACAATTTTTTTCCTGACGATATTTCACTCAAACGCAGGTAATACGGAGCAGCGTATTCATTTAGTAGTTTCTGTGTGAAATATTCAAGCCTTGGAGACCAGGACTGTTATTAATTTGTCTCAGCTTTCTGAATGTATATCAATTGATCCCCCTGTTATTACATACTTGTTTAGTTGTCTATCCATATAAAAGTCATGCATTCTTGAAATTGCTGTTTAACCCGTATCATGGCTTATTCAACAACATTACTGATGGGATCTCGTTACCTAGTCAGGGAAACGGCAGTAGTAATTCATCTCATTTCGATTCCTGTTACATAAGCACCACAGCGGTGAACTACATTCTACGTAGCCATCGGTCAGTCTAACTTAATAAAAGCTGGCTAAACAGCTAATAAACTTCCGTCGCCCATGGGTGTATAGTCGGTTTGTTGTCTAGTTTGATATACTTTGAATTAATTTCTTTTTTATCCGTCATCAGGGAATTCAATATTGAATTGCTCGTTTTGGACATTATGGTTGTTTTGCTACGATAAAGAGTTTGTGACAGGTTTCTAGTTTAGTTACTTTGATTGAACTCAATTAGTCAATAGTCCTATGCAAAAAAGATGAAGTACACTTATCAAGAATTGTTATTGTAGCAGTACTACTTTCATTGTATTTTGGTGAATACCATCCTGATATCAATTTTGATCATAAAGTGACTTCAGCTAGAGAACCAGGGAGTACTGAACATCTGTTTGGTCCTAGTTAGGTGTAGGGTTGGGACTCCTCATCAGTGGGCGCGCATGACCTCAGGACCTTCAGGTTGGAGAGCGAGCTTCTTAACCACTCAGTTACTCAGACGGAATCCAGTTGCCCACCAGTTCTGACTTAGGCCAATTTTTGGTATGTAGCGCGACAGCCAGTCAATGTTAGTTCATAATCAAACTTGAAGTCAGTCAAAATCATTGCAAACCAACACTTGAAAACTTGATATTTCCGTAATTGATTTTCAACTAAAATTGCTTTTTGCTATAAAAAGTTATTTACTACTCTCCTTTTACATAACATTTGTAATGGGATTATTTCAGCTGGATCTCACGCAGGAATGCTAACCGCTGAAGATATGCTGGCTGCAGCACAGATTTGTAGTCACCTCAGTCAGTCTCAACTCAGCGCTCTGGCGGCAGCATATCACCATCAGCAGCAACAAATCCAGCGTTCGGTAAATCCAATGGCTGCAGGAAATCCGTCACTTGGTCACGTCCCAGGTATGACATTCCCCCAGGCTTTGGCAGCTGTACCATCAATATCGAAATCATCCTCTCCTACAGTCTCATTGGGTGTTCATAATACTCATCAGCCACCTCGACAACCGTTTCACCCAAGTCAGGCAGTGATGCATCAAAACAGTCAAAAACGACCTCCTAGTGGACAGTCTCAGTTCCATCCAAATCATTCTGCCCAAATAGGATCAACTGCGTCTAGTAGTACGTTTTCTTAATTTTAACCTGGATCCGTCTTTTTACTTAATAAACTCTAACATCTAGCTTGTTTTAAAACGCTTTAGGTTGATTTTCAAAATGTATATCAACCTAAAAGTATCTGCTTTCCTCATATTACTAATTCTCCATTGAATTGATTACGAAGTGTAGTAGATATCTGATTTGTGTATCAGGAAAGTTTCTAAGAAGTTGAACAACAATCATTATTATATCAGCGTAAACTTGGTACAATTTTGGCACCAAGGGGTGAATCATAATAAGAATCATAGGCCAGTTATTTGTAATTCAAGGTAAATTAATTAACTGAAGTTATCACAGCTAGAATTCCACGCTGAACTAGAGTTTGTCGTTTACAGACCATTAAAGTTATCCTATCTGGGTGTGTTTTTAAGTTACTCAGCTTTTAATTTTGAAAGTACTTTAATGTACAGATTTATCTGACCAACCGGTGCTTTCGTAAGATATATGTTTATGCAGTTTTTTTATGGCTTTAGTGTATCTTTCTCAATTCCGTTGGCACTTATCTTTTTTATGAAAAACCTTCATGGATTTGTATTACTTGTACACAACTCAGGCTTGTGTTATTTTAGCTCGCCCAACTTTAGCCAGTCAGTCTATCCTTCATCATCGTGGGAACCACACCGGTCTTCCAGGATTTGGTGCAGTGAGCTCGCATGGTAGTATTTCACAACCAATCACATCCCATATAGAACCTGGTTCAAATTCGCACAATGCGCACCATCAGACAAGGGCATCACCTTCTCTGTCTCCCAGTCCTGGAAACAACATTTATCAGGTTTGTGATAATTTTAAAAATACTCTGTTATAATAATCTTCCATTAGGGATGTTAAAATGCTTTCTTGTGTGGTTCCATTATGATATTTAGTGATATTTTATCCTCAAAAATAATAAACAATCAAGAGTATAAACGGTTCGTACTCATAAGCCCTTCACTTTCGTGCACCGAGTTCCTTTTCTTTTCACCCGTTTCTCAAACTAATGTGAAATATCATAAGGTCTGAGACAAGTGAGACCTGGTACATCACAAATTTAGTACCAATTAACTAAGTTCCACTATTCATTCATTACAGGCTAAAAGTGCTAAGCTATGATTTTGTCCAATTCAGCGTTAAATTCACAACTTACTCAATGGATAGTCAACTATATTCTCAATCATTTGATTACAATTTTTTCCCTCATACTTAATGCGGAATACTGGATGACATCTAATTAGCAAAACCTATGGAACATTTTTTTTCATTTTTACTAAATTTTATGTAAGTCTGTAAATGATTGTGTCCACTAGTTATGAATATATGTTTTATACGCTGAAAAATTCACAGTAGATAAAATACAGCCTTACCTGCTCTATGTGCTCGTCAACCTTATTGTACTTTTCAACCAACAGTAAAATTATACCGCTGACTTTATCAGGTATTTTGTGTGTAGGTGATAGCTAAATTTTACTACATAAACGTATATGTACTCGTTTTTCCAGTAGCCCAGTATTCTCCCGCTGCAACCAATGTCCATTATAGAACCGTTGAAATCCAGGGAGCGTTAGAAAACTGAGATGTGGCTCGCTGGCCTAAGTGACCAGCAGGTTCGTATCTTGCTCCACCTACTTCAGTCTGATCAACTGTGTATTATTGTCAGCCATCTCAATAACTGTAGCTCATGGTTCAGGAGTGAGCTTTAACCAACCAACAAGAAGGCTGTTTCTTCTTAGTTTGTGACTGTTTACCAGTGCCTATCCACGACCTCATCTAGGATCAAACCTAGGGCCTTCAGGTTACGAAGCGAGTCTGTTACCTTTCAATCACTGAGTCAAAATATGGTGACTGTCAGATGTTCTTTTTTTCAGGCTTCCAATGATTCTTTATGTAACTTCGGTTCTTGAAGAAATCGATTTTAAAGTCGATCAAATCCCTAAAAATCAACCCTCAAGAATTCTGTTATTTAGAATTCACGATATCTCACGACTTTAAGCGACTGTGTCCGTGAGTAGTGAATAAATATATCTCACTGAGCAACGCGCATCCAATTCTGTTTTTTAAATAACACTTCGAAAATGACTAAATTTCAAAATAGTTCTTCACTACTGCATAAATCCAATCATTTGTTTTCATTTTGATGTTCCCTTCAACACAATACCGTAATTTTGGTGATTTTAAGTCGGACTTTATTCGTAGGTTTGTATGGTAATTTTCAGAAAATTTCTACTGCATAATCAGGAATATTGTGTAACTGTTGTCAAAGGATAGAATGTGTTTATTGTATATATGCTACTCAAGTAAACGTTTGTATTTTACTTCTTTGGTAAAGGCTGTAAATTTCTGCCTTCATTCTTGTTTTTCCTGTTATATTATTTCTGAAATTCCTATCCTTAATAAATCCCAAAAACTCTTTTTTTAGAACCGCCGCTCTCAACTGGCTCCTCCTTCGAATCATCCGAATAAGCGACCGCGTATTTCTGTGGGTTCTCAACCACCTCATCCTGTATCATCTTTGCCTTCAGGCCATGTGACAAACACTATTTCACCTGCTGGTATGGAAGCGTTACTTGGTAGTGTTGTTGTTAGTAAAGCTATGGCAAGTCTCGCCGCTGGTTCCAACTTCCTTAATCCAAATGCATATTCTGCAGCTACAGAAGTTGCCGCAGCAGCTGCAGCAGCTCTCACACCGTTTTATACATCCATCAATAATGGCAACGTATCAAACTCAGCATCAGTCACCACTCCTAACCAAGTTGTTTACCAACCTCACAATCAACAACATGGTTCAATGGGTAATAATTCATCTTCGGGCCCTCATTTTCTCAATCAGCAACATATTTTACCATCTTCAAGTACAGCATATCCTGGTTCTTTGATGGGTCCGATACCTGGCTCACTTTTGAATTCTTTGAATAATAGACCGTTTTCTCATACAACTGTATCTACGCAGGTTATCACTTCCGGACAGGCTCTAGTGAGTGCACCTGGTTTAGGATCTCAGTCTGTAGCTAGTCATCCCCAGTCATCGCATTTGCCTACAAAAGCGCCACATCCAACATCGGTTGCTCAGAATCCTTCCCGTTTGATATCTGGTCATCTCCATCATCCACACGTTCCTACGCATCCTACACAAGGCAATTTCCACCAATCGAATCATCCTTTGCCTCAACCAAATTCTCAACATATGATGGGTCATTCTAATCTGCCTCAGGGAAGCGGTGTACTTCGACAGCAAACGAAAGAACCAGCTTACCATCCACAGGTATTTGTTATTACCTTATTTTCTATAGCTTACTATGTTGGACTCATTATCTTATCATGCTGCCTGCAACAAATTGTCGATTAGCTTATTCATGTATAATTTCGAAGTTAGATAGAAAGGAGTCAGTACTTATCAGATATTTTTAGAAATCAGTAGGTTTACGTGCATACTAATTTATGTATGATCAGTGTACTTTTCGTCATAATAATAAATGAAAAATTAATTGAATGAGTAAGCAAACAACTTTGTGTATGTTGCTTTCTGAAATTCCACATAGTTTGACATATTTCTTTGTTTCAACATTTTAAGGTTTGTCCCGGCTTACGTTTTCTCTTCTCCAGAATCCTCCGTTTAAGTGGATGTGTTAACTCAACTGCAAAATAGTACGAGATATGTAATGAGTTGTCACAGAAATCGTTACTTTAAAAGGAAGAAATTGCGTGCTGCCTTTAAAGCTGTAAACACTGAGGCATCTATTCAGATGACTTTATATAGCACAAAACATGTCAGTTATCTGTGACTGATAAAGTTTAGGACTAATGGTATTGCTTATTATTGTTAACCTTAGACACTAACTTGATCCAATATAAGAGTCAAGAGACGCACCACACAATTAGCCACATGGAGGAATAATAAATAAAATAGTCGAGAAGCAAATAATGAAAATAGTTCTGCATATTTAACAAGAACATTCAAAGTGGTGTTCATTAAAACGTATGACTTTCAGAAGCAGAATCTTCATGATTGTTCTAGATTCTGAACCATATTTCGAATCGCGCATAGAGTAGAAATGGGTCGAAAGTGTTGATTTACCACAAATATCCTTCATCCAACAGTACCACTTTGTGTGCCGACCATCTTTTCTTTCAACCAGTTCCAGGAACAAAAATCATTGGGCAGCGTGGAAGCCACCAGAATACGATTCCGAGAGAGTATCATTTGCAAGGCTGCTTGCAGCAGTTCATTTGAAATTTCCGGTGGAGACACAGACTCCTGCCAATCTTACAATTATTTTTTTGGAATTCTGCTAGGCACATGTCATACTTATTAACACTGATTGCCAACCGACTAAGTGGAATTTGGGTACTCTGTATGTTAACGCATACGTGGATGAAATTGTCTGCATAATTGAGGTCTACTAATATTTTTCCGCCTAGCAAATGTATACTACTACATATCCTTCAAAATGGTTTACAGAGTACCTTTGAGAGCAAAGTTAGAAAGAATATGATGACATTAGGTAATTTTGTCTAACCATGCTACTTGATGAGTTTGTCGTGATAAATACTTGTATGTCCCGAACATACCTGAGGTGCTTTTGTATTGAGTTCTTAAGATACACTGTTAGTAAACTTCTGTACTGGCCTCCAACGGAAAATTTCAACGGACATAAGACATTCCTAACATCTTGAAATACATTGGTTGCTAGCCTACAGTGCACACGATGTTCTATCAACTGACTTGCGACTGTTTATTCCGTACTGACCAGCTCCGTCACTCCTCTCAGACTAAACACCTGATCTACGTATTTTAGTTTCCAGCTATCATTACAATACTTATCCAGCGTTTTTGTGTGAGTTTATTTAGCTGATGATAGAATTCATCCCTCATTACTGCTGGCCAGCAAACTGTTGATGATTAAGCAGAAACGACAAAAGTACATCTCTTCTTACTATAATATAAAACAGTAACAGCCAACAAAGGACTTAATGGGAATGTAGTTGAGTAATTCAACTTCGTCCCTGGCGCATGGTCCGAAATTAACCCAAATGCCGATGTTGTAGGGTCTATGTATAGGCGCACATGAGACGTACTATTTCGTTCTCCAGATGGAGAAGTTATCCGAAGCATTTTACTGGGGTTTTTGTATGCGTGTATCAATAGAAGGACATAGACTAATTGAAACTTTCAAGGGTTCTTGTCAAATCTGTCGGTTGTCCGACTTACATCTGCGTGAGAAAGTTGTAGGTGGCAGCTGGAACGCAACATTTGTCATAGTAGTCACATTAGAATGCTCAGGAATGGCTAGTCTCCTGGAAGCAGCTAATTAGCTATTCTAAATGGTATAAGTGAACTATGACTTCAAAATTCATACATCCTTGTTTTAAAATCGTGGTTTACTAATTCTTCAAATGTGTCTAGTGGTTAAGACATTCAAATTCACCCTTTCATTTTGACAAGAATACCCCTCTCCTACTGCATGAAGACAATAAATAGAACCTAGTCGTTAGTGGCTATAAACTCGTGGTCAGATGTGACCGTTTGAACGGAAAATTGGTGTCTATCCACTGTCGTTTTTATTAAATCACTTTTTTTGGATCAAATTTAAAGAATGTGAGGTTTGCCACAAATGTTAATCATTCAGCGTTTATACATGTCGTTCGACATTAATTTATAAAGAGGACTACTTTTCAACTAAATCTTTCGTTAATGTGATATTTTCATGATAATTTAACTGCAATATATGATATTTTTTATTGTTGGGAATGCTAGCTTATCAAACATCCACTTGATTTTTAAGGCTTTTTATCGCATCCCTGAAAAATGCTTGTTTTTGTATAAGTAATCAGTGAGTGTTTTTTTTGCAACAGCTCTATCATACGAATACTGATGTCCCCTCACCGTGTGTCACCAGTTAACCTTCTTACACCTTACAAATAATGTTATTGTACTAATCATTCCGCGTTAGTTGGTCATGTAATTGATTACTTTAATAACTACTAGGTGAACTATTTCATTCTACTGGTCGAATGTTGTTACTGCTAATCAATCGGTTTTTTTTTAAAGGTTGAAGCCATATCCCCTGCTCCTGATGAATCTCGTTTAGTGGATGCTCAAGATGCGAAACTCCATCGTGAACGTGAGGAAGTTAATCGCCAGTTGACAGTATTGGATGCTGATATTAACAAACAAGAATCCCATTTAAGAAACCTTTGCGAACGTGAGGCTCGTCTAGCTGCTCGATTGGCTGCAGCACCTGCCCCTGATATATCCACCAAGGAATTAGAAGGCAGTAGTGATCCTGACATTAAAGCAGAGAGAAGTGATACTGCTACGTCGGAAGCATCTTTCACTATTAAAAAGAATTTCCAACGAAATTATGAAAACCCAATCCAGGTGAGATATAGTTATATCAAAATTACACTGTTGCTGGATCTTGATAAAATAAAAATGCTAGGGTGTAACTTTCTTTATGAACTGAAGTTTATGCACTGAGTCAGGGACAAAACATATCATGAATGTTTCACTAGTAATGGAGAAACACTGTTCAGTTTGCCCTCAATTGCTACAGGTGCATATTATCGTATAATATCAGATATAAAAAACGAAGGTTGTTCGCAACTTGTTTTTGTTTGGCATCTTTTATAGTATCTCAAAATAATGGAAATTATTGATAATTTTTTATTTCCATTGCACTGTCGTCTCATTTTCTCTTACTAATATTATTAGTTGCTTTTTTCTTGATATTACAGGCAATTATTTCAGAAAACCGGCAACGTACTCGTCAAAGGCACCTTATCTTTACTAAACTTTGTGGTCCAAAAGTCAACCCGGGACCTTATGCACTGCCTTTCTACCGCCAACCATCTGACCTACCTAGTGTCAGGGCTATACAATCCAGTTTTCGTGGCCATTTCCGATCAAAACTTATTCTCTACCTTCAGAGACGTCTGCGAGCTGAACAGAGTCGTATCAAATTTTTGGCCCAACAGTATGAACGAAACTCAAAGGTATGGTAGTATTATTGCATAAGATTCATGCTATTTTAGGGTCTGTAGGTGCTTTTGTTTATATGTAGTTTTGCTTAGCAAATACCTGCCACAGACTTTACTTTGTCACTAAGAGCGGTTATCTCATTTTTTGCCAAGTATGAAGACTTTTGTATAATAGTCGTCAATACGTATCTATCCGACTGTTTGACGTTTTTACAAACCAAAGGTTAGATTCTGTACTGAATAGTTGACGGTTGAATTCTTTGTCTTTCTTGTCATCTGAACTCAAGGATAGTAGCCCACATACTCTTGGTTACACGTCTGAAGATTGTTGAATTTAATACGAATGTATTCACTCCTAATCACTTTCTGAATCCCGAATGACAATAACTTCAAATGTTTTATCTCCCCATGTTCTCTCATTGTGGTACCATTACGTATGTGTTCTTTCAGAGTGTTACCTTGAATTTACTCATCTCTATGCGGAGTTTTATGCTGATGTGCAACCATTCCATTTTTCGATGGCCAAGTCTGTAGATTCTATGCTCGTTATATTGTTTTTTTGTGATATGCTACAGTGGAATATTATCGTTATTATATACTTAGTTACTGTCCAGTTTCAATTTATTCTACATTTGTAGTCCACCTATTACTCTTCCTTTCACATGTTTTCGTCATTCCATTGTCAGACTTATGATTTGCTACCTTGACCTAATTATAATGAGTGGATCCAATCTCTTAATTTTTATTGTGCTTAAAGTAGTCCCACCTTCAATATGGTTTTTAAAAGTATAGTCTAACTCACGGATTAGTAAATGCTTTGCACTACTAGAATTATTTCCTGGATTTTGAGACTTGAGTATTGTGTTGTATGTGTAAGCACATGTTTTGAAGGTTACGAATAGAATTTGTAGTCAGTTTTCTAGTGCAGAAAGGTATATACGACTTACTATATACTTTATGCTTCATATTGTTCGTGCATGATCTTCATAAAATACTTGATTTCCTCTACTCAGTAGTCACTATCAAGATTAAAATTCTTGTCTTTCGTTCAGATATTCACTAAAAAAATGGATAAGTTGCTAAGCACAACTAAACGTCGTCAGCGAGACTTACGTCACCGTGATATCTTTGAAAAAGCATTGCCAGAAGTGAAGAAAAATCGTGAGGATCGAGAAATGGGAAGCACAGAATACGCTAAATCAGGAGTTGAAGATGGTAAGTTTATGATTTATAAATCATTCTCGATCTTTGTCCCACATAACTTTGTTTGGTTAATTATCCTGTACAGGAAATATGTGCTTGTGAAGTACAGGTTGGCAGACACGTAATATTCCTCATATATTATCTGGGGATTCCTCTCTCCTAAACTATCACGTAGACAAATTGCTACGTTGGTATGCATGAAGTTTTGAGGAATTCTTGCCTTTTTGATTGGTTGCTGGTTATGATATGGAAGTTGTGTACTTATTGTCTGCATCTGAAAACCGGGAAAATGACAAAATTCAATAAGTACATTGTATTTTTTAGACAACATAACATAAGGGATTTAGTGACAGATATCATATATGAAGTTCATTTCTCGAAGTTGCTGTTAGTAGTATTTCAGTTATTACGACCTCATTTTGCTAAATATATTGATTTCATTTTTCCTTCGTAGGACTCTGCTGCCACTTTTGACTTAAATAAACAAAAGCTAATACCTCCTTTCATCAAATTTACATTTCTGTATCACTTATTTTATTTACTGGTCTAGCTGATTCCGGTGGAATGTCAAATCTAGCTGATGGATCTCAGGCCACTCCTTACGATGCCATTGAGGAGATGAATAAACTAAAGGTTAGTTTTGTGATATGTAGTACTAATTTTATTGATAGATATGCGAGATATCTCGGGAGGCATTAGTTGTTTCTCAAATTTTTAGTTTCTATGCAGTAATACTATCAGCGTACAATATAATTTAGAAAATCAGACGCAATAAATTATGTTAACCCTAGAAGATAATTTACTGACTAAGCTTATCCAGAGTCTGATTTCGTAAATAAAACTGTATCCATCACTTCAGTTTGAAGAATATGACTAGCGTTCCTTTTTCAGAACACAAATATAATCAAAATACATAACACTTGCAGCCGCTTATGCAATTAACCTTAGCCGTGGGATGATTCAGACTGAGTGTCCAACTCAGAATTTTGCACAGAAGTACAGCAGTTCAAGTCGCCAAGCTTCATTGAGCACATGAAAGTAGACAAAAGAATTCACAGGAACTATGATAAAAAGAAATGTCTAGCACAAAAGAGTAAGTGCACAGACAATGTTGAGAATTCGAGGAATCTAGGAGTTCATAAAAGATAAATACATCTGCACCATTGAGAACGATTGAAAGCCATGTCACCACTAATAGTCTCTAGACAGTCGTTCTTAGCATCATGTGGCCTAAACTAACAGTCCAGGAAGTTTGTAACATATACGGTCTGGAAACTTATTGCAGTTGTTTTCATGTGACAACCTCCAACTTTTTTCTAACCTAATCCCATGCCACCGGTAAGTGCTCCTATGTTGAAAAGTCTGTTGAAGGATAGTGTTACAACGTATACATTCCCGTCCGGGCCTATAGCCGGCCTGGTTTTCACGTCTGTTTCTGACGAGCATCGCTTAATCAACGCAGGAATACTGAATCTAGAAATCTAGGTACTACGTCATTCGAGCTAATACCATAAAAGGACCTGTCTCCTTTTTCAAAAGCTGAGGTAATCAGTGATCTGTACCAGTTCTACGAGACATTCTCCCATTTTCACACGTTAAGTGTTATCTTAGTTAACTCAGACAACAGCTCATCACCGCCTTTAAATAACTTAGGGGTTTTACTATTTGGTCCCGTTGCTATACTCTCCTTTTCATGGGAACCATGCGTATCTTTGTGAAATAAAAGGTTTCTGTATTATCTTGATGAAATATTCATGACTTATGTGTTCATAGTAATTTCATCATTAGTCAACATCATCTAAAAGAGTTATTGGGAAGCTGTCGATCACTGGATATCTATCCGGTCCTTATCTGACGATCTTCCGCACTTCTCCGTCTAGCGACTCATGATTCCGAAATTCCTCCAATTATCATTGTAACATGGTTATTCACTGTTGTTGGTGAACGTTAACCATCACAACCGATTTGGCGCGTCCTGTCAGCTATGTTTTATTCGTATATGCGAAGATACTGAATTCATTCACTATCGGAGCTATTACACAATAATTTTTATGTTTTGTTTAGGAATATGCGATTGATCCTCCAGTTATGCTTGCACCATGGCAACGTCGCTACCAATTTATATGTGAATCAGGTTTAGTCACAGATTGTCGCGCTCAGCTTCAGGAAACTCAAGATCTATCCAAATGGTCAGAGGAGGAAAAACAAATATTTAAAGAACGGTTTTTAGCAACTCCCAAAAATTTCACTTCAATAGCTGCACATTTAGATCGTAAGACGGTTGCAGACTGCATACACTATTATTATCTGACCAAGAAAAAAGAGGGTTATAAACAGCTATTAAAAAAACATAACGCCCGTCGTCGTCGGGCCGCTCAAACAGAGCGTGGTGGAGGAGGTAGTGGCGGTGCGTCAAGCAACTCAAACACTGGTGGAAGTAGTGGCGGTCATGGTAATAACGGCAGTCATTCAAACGCTCACTCAGTACCTCCATCTGGGAATTGCCAAAATGTAAATACAAACTCTCCTCGGGGTGACAATAACGAACCAGAAGAGAAAGATTCGGCAAATCCAAGAACTTCACAAGCAGATTCTTCTGGACACCCTGAATCTAACGAAAATGCTGAGATTAGGGTAAGTATTCTTGCCACTTATTTTTTGCTAAGCAATTCACATATTTTTAAAATTAAAGGCAACTGCTTGTCAAAGTCTTTAAAATTCATGGTAGGTGTTTTTCCACTCCCGCAGATGGTCGTAGAAAGCAGGTGTGATATGACATTACTTACAAATATTGTCTGGTTAAAGATTATTTTTGGGTTCTTTTGCAAATGTCCCAACTTGCTACTCGTGCTCCTTAATTGAATGTATTTCTTTTTAGTTAATGTTTGTATTCCTGTTGCATCTAATGTACCAAACTGATTTCTGGATTTATTTACGTAAATGTCCTTGCCAGAGAACTGTTAAGTCAAACCCATTACAGCTTCTATGGGAGACATCCCTATGTAAATATTTCAGTATTTGTAGGGTGATATTATAATGGTTCAGTAAAAGTTGAAAGCAGTATCTGCAGTCCACATTTTCCTTTATATAAAAATGATCAGTCTGTTTTCTCTTAGAAACGTTATAAGTTTTGTTCTGAAGCTGGCCTACCATCGTGTACCTGTCTTTAATACTGACTGAAGTAAGGCTCTATGCCTTCCTAAACCAAATTTATATTTAACATTATAAATGCAAATCTTTTCTGCTATTTCAAAATAAGTTATTGCCCATATTTTTCGAGTTCAGGAGTACTAAAATTAAACTTAGCATTCCGAGTTAGTTGTTGTTATGTCCTACCGAAGTAGCAAGACCCTATCCACACTTTTTCAAATGCTGCTGTGGATTGCTATACAGCATCTGTGTATTGCGTTTACTCATTATTTCATCCTTAACTTCCACTCATTAAGTTATGAACTCTGATTAATCATGCTAGATCACAGAAACTGAGTACTGTAGTTACCTCACTCGAAATCTATTATGCTAATCTCACATGTAAACCGTATTTTTTAGTTGAATGTTTAGTCAGAGCAACTACTTTTTTCAGGATACTGATGGATCCAAAAGTTCTTCAAAAAGAGATGGTGGTGGAGCGAGGAGCCGAACTGGTCGAGGTCGCCCATCTCAGCACTCTTCACATTCAAACCATGCCAACGCTGACAATAACTCTACTGTATCGCATGGCCGTAACCGTGAAAATAAGTGTTCTCGGAACAACACTGACTCTCAGACGCGCCGGGCTTCCATTGGTAAACATTTGTAAAGATTTATTTTTGATAGATTTGTGGACAAAAAGTAGACGATCCAGTGGAAAAAGACTTTCTTCATCAACAAAGTCATTTTCAAAGGTTACTCAATAGTACTTACATTTACTAGAACATATAGCGGCCTATTAATGAATGATAGCTTGTGTGACCTAATTACTACAGCTACTCAGATGTGATTTTTTAAGGTAGAATGAAATTACGTATTAATCAGGGATACGAAGGAGGTAACGGTTTGAAATTGGGTAAGGTGAAGATTGACAACTTTGAAGAAGGTAAGAGGAAAAAAAGCTATTAAAATTCACAAAAGGGATACATAAGAGAGAGCAAACAAGCAGAAAAAAGTTTATGACCATAGCAGGATAAGAGAATCAACATAGTTTTCTGTACACAGAATTCTGGGTTATGTTGTCGAATCACCGGCCTTTCCTCCATTCTCAAGTGACGAAAGATAATACCTCTTATATCATTCGATCTTACCTTGTGTGTTATTTAAAAGAGGACCTTGGTGGTACTGTGTAGTCTGAGTTTGTGAAGTATTCGAGATTTAAACTGGTAAATGATTTGCATTGTCCTCAGCATGTTTCCATGGTATACAAACTAGTTCACCTTGAAAATGAAGTCTTTGGAAAAATGTCTTACTGACAGGTACGCGGAGGCCTATAATCCTGTCTGTTAGCAATCCAAGGATATTCACACGATGTAAGTCTGCTAGTGGATGAAAACCATGATTATGTGATTGGCTATAATTTCAACAAAATGAAATCTGCCATTCGGATAACGTGCAGTCGTGACGACTACCTCTCCCCGTAGACATCTTAAACATTCCTCCATAGACAGACTTCAATTGGTTTATATCACAGCCCACCAGTCTACTATAAATTATAATCACTGAATTATAAATCTGGTGTTTTGGTGAATGCCTAAACCTAAACAACGCGTCTTTGATTAGTAATACAACTAATCAGGCAGAAATAGAGTATACCGCATACACATAAAATAAGGACGAATGTCATGTATAATGTGTCTATAGTATTTCCAAGTGTATTCTCACTGATCATAAGTACTTACATCTTTCGGGATACATAATATTTCCACCCGACGAGAGAAACTGGCTGTAATTTGGCAAAATTTTTAAAAAAAGCAGGGCGTACTAGTTTAATTTAGGGTCTGTATATCCTATACTTTATCCACCTAGCCAGAGGAACCATTTCCTATGGAAAAAAGCTAATTGTAAAAAGATGTTTGTAGTATGCAATAAACGTTACCGTTGAGAGTGCCTTTGAATTTTTGCAACTATGATCACTTAAGATTTGACAAAATGACCCTAAATCACCAATCAGTTCACCACCCTTTCAAAGTGAATTAAGTTATAGGAACTGGTTTGAAATGACATTAACAACACCTGTGAGAAACTTGGACATATTTTCACAGCATATGAGAGACATTTCAACAGTAAATCATTTTTATTATATGTACCTACCACAAATAAACTTTACCAAAGGTTTTCATTGGACTACTTCGATTGGCTGTTCTGGGTCTTGTCGTTTGACCTTGGTCATGTCATCTATTCCTATTGGTCATCCTTTGTTTTACTTATTGATATAGCTGGCATAAAAATGTAATTTGCACTCACTTAAAAAAGTAGCCCAAGTGGCATCTACTTGGGCTTATTATTATTATTATTGTTCCCTTGGGTTCCTAGTGGAACATAGGGCTTCAACTGCACGCCTCCACTTGCTTCTGTCTTCTGCTGTACTTTTCACTTGCATCCATGTTAATCCATACTGTTTCAGTTCCTCATCACACGATCTCCTCCATGTCACCCTTGAACGTCCCACTCGCCGCTTCCTTTCCGGGTTCCACTCGAGGGCCTGACGCGCGATGTCACCCAACGGCCTCCTCAGCGAGTGTCCAGGCCATCTCCACTTTCTCCTGCATATTTGTTGGGCGATTGGTTCTTGTTTTGTTTGTTCCCATAGCTTCTTGTTTGTGATTCTTTCCGGCCATTTGATTTTCAGTATAGAGCGAAGACAGCTGTTGATAAAGGTCTGCAACAGGCTGTTGGAAATATTGTTTGTGACACACTGGCCAAGTTTCTGATCCGTATAGAAGAACTGACTGACTTGACGTCGTTTGTATTGAAAATCCGAATTTTGTTGTTGATGCTGAGTTGAGTGACGAAGATTTCCAGATTGGTTTCAGGTTGATGATGGTGATGTTTCTTGCCTTCCCGATTCTCGATTTGACATCCTCGTCCGTTCCTCCTGTGGTTGAGACAATGCTCCCTAGATAAGTGAAAGAAGTAACCTCTTTCAAATCCCTCCCGTTGATGGTGATTGGCGCTGGATGTTGCTGCTGCTGTTGTTGTTGTTGGTTGGTTATTTTCATAACCTCCGTCTTGTCTATGTTCACCTGGAGTCCTGTCTTTGCTGCTTCTTCGACCAGTTTGTTGGTTTTCGCTTGTAAGTCTTCGATTTTGAGTGACATCAAACATAAATCATCCACGAAATCCAGGTCTTCTAGGTTCTTCACGTCGGTCCAGGATATCCCTGTCTTCTCGTTTCCCACTGTCTGACGCATAATCCAGTCCACCACAATTAGGAATATCATTGGTGATAATAAGCACCCTTGTCTGACTCCTATGTTTACTCCAAACGCTTCGCTGATTTTTCCCTTGTGGATCACTTGACATGTACCGTTGTCGTACAGCTGTTGAATAAGGTTGATGAATATTTGGGGTAGTCGCCGTAGTACTCGAGTAGTTTCCAAATTACTTCGCGGTCAACGCTGTCGAAGGCCTTCTCAAAGTCTATGAAGGAAGTTGAGGTAGAGGTTTGATTGCCATTCCATGCTTTGTTCCGTGATGATGATGCGTAGAGTTGCAATTTGGTCAGAACATGATTTGCCTTTCCTGAATCCAGCTTGTTCTGGTCGGAGTTCTGTATCCAGTGCGTCCTTTATTCTCTCCAGGATGATGCGACTCAGGATTTTACTTGGAGTCGACAGGAGCATGATTCCTCGCCAGTTTTTGCAGAGTCCTAAGTCGCCTTTCTTTGGTAGTTTCACCAGGTAACCTTTCCTCCAGTCAGTAGGCACCTTTCCCTCTTTCCAGATCTTTTGCAATAATGGAGTCAGCATATCTGCTGTCGTCTCTGGGTCCGCTTTCAGTGCTTCAGGGGGTATTCCATCTGGTCCAGCTGCTTTTCCAGTTTTCAGAAGCTTGATTGCATTCATGACTTCAGTTTTCGTTGGAGGATTGTTGTCAACTTGCAGTTGTGTACGCGCTGTTGTTGGTATTTCTGGACGGGTTGCAGGTGGTGGTCGGTTCAAGAGTCCTTTGAAGTGGTCCGCCCATTGTTTAATCTGTCTTTCTTCTTTAGTAATTGGGTTCCCTTGGCTGTCTTTTATAGGTTTCACTTGTGTTGATCTCTTCCCGGATAGAGACTTGGTTATCTGATATAGTGTCCTTAGGTCCCTTTTGTCTGCTGCCTTCTCAGCTTCAGTAGCCAGGTTGTCGTAGAATTGTCTTTTGTCCTTCCTGGCACTCTTCTTCACTTCTTTGTCCAGTGCTGTGTAAGTTGAGCTCAGCATCTCTTTCTCTTGTCCATCTTTGCATTGAATCATTTTCTCTTTCACCATTCTCCTCTCCTCTATTAGCTTCCAAGTGTCCGTTGAGAGCCATCCCTTGTCTTGTTTCTTCTTTCTTCCTAAAACCGTTGAACACGTTTCGTTGAAAATCACCTTCAGAGAGTTCCAATGGTCTTCCACGGATGATTCCTCAGTGGTGCCACGTAGTGTTTCCTGCTTTGCTCTGACAGTTGCAGGGAAAGTGTCCTGTGTGATTGTGTCCTTCAGTTTTTGCGTGTTGAACTTGCATTGTGGCCTATCCCCAGCTATCCTCGAGGCTTTTAGCATCACCTTGAAAGTCCCTTGTACTAGATAGTGGTCTGAACCCACATCTGCTCCTCTCCTCGATCTTGTGTCCAGTAGGCTCCGTCTCCACTTCCTTGAGATTGAAATGAAGTCTATCTGGTTTTTGGTGTATCCATTTGATGAATTCCATGTCTCCTCATGTATATCCTTGTGTTTGAACACACTGCCACCAATCACCAAATCATTGAAGGCGCAGAAGTCTGAGAAGAGTTCACCATTTTCGTTCATTTCACCGAGGGCCTCACGACCCATGATGAGTTCTCTTCCTGTATTGTCTCCTCCCAGTTTCGCATTCATATCACCCACCAGCATTCTGATATCGCCATTTGGGACGTTGTCCATTACTGTTTGTAGTTGTTTGTAGAAGGCCTCCTTCTTCTCTTGTTCTGAGGCGTTTGTAGGCGCGTAGCACTGAATGATTGTAACCTTTTTTCCTTTTGAGTTGAACCTGGCTGTCATTATCCTGGAGGAGATTGGTTCCCACTGCATGAGAGCTTTAGCCGCTGTTGGTGACATCATGATGGCTACTCCCTCAGTGTGCTCGTGATCGTCCTCTGGGTGACCGGAGTAGATTATTGTCTCTCCAGTTGGTAGTTGGCACCTTCCGCATCCGTTCCATCTGCTCTCGCAGATTCCCAACACTTCTATTTTATATCTCCTCATTTCTGCGGCTACCTGAGCAGCCTTCCCAGTTTCGTACATTGTACGAACATTCCACGTCCCCATCCTTATTTTTGCTTTCATCGAAAGAAGGCACATCGGCTGACTGGCTTCCCGAAGGCTTTCACCAGCCTGCGTCATTTCACTTCCCCGATTCCAGCGGAAAATAAGGTCATTGTTTGTATTTTTAGAATTTTTAATATATTTGTGCGTTGAAGTTTTAGTAGCAATTTGGTTAAGTTTTGGGGATGGAGTTGCTAGCACCACGCCCCGACCGGCTAGAATACTAGTGACCTAGTAATCTAGGCGAGGTTAAGGAGTGCGTCGACCGGGGTTCGAACCCCGGACCATGTACATGGTCGGCGAGCGTCCTAACTGCTATGCCACCGACGCTTACTTGGGCTTGATCGCATGTAAAGTGTTTATGGGTAGATAGTGGGCTCTCTGTTCGTAGTTATTGTTCCTGTTGGCAAGTCAGTGTATAGTTTTTGTGATTTGTCTTTCTAGAGTATAAAACACCATTTATAAAATGCCCGTCTTCTGTATTATACTACATATCTTCGTCACTATGTTAGCTATAAACACTATGACAGTGATTAGTTTCTATCTCACTACCTTAAATTGTGGGGACTTATTTCTGGGTGCACAAACACATTTAAGCATACATGCTAAGCCTGAAAGATCACATATTCATAAATTTCCTTGCCACCAGAAAATGTTGCCTAATTTTTATGGAAATGGTTTCCCCACGTTTGAGCATCCAGTTTTCTCTATGTCATTCATCTTTTATTTTGAGATCTATTAGTGTCGAGTTGGTAAATTAGTTGCCGTAATTATTTTTAATAGTCCATCGTTATATAAAATAATGTTTTGCTTTATATGAATGTAGATGCCAAGGAGTCTGAAACTGATCATTCACTTCCTACATTGGATAAGGAATTGCCAGTGGAAGATAAGAAAAAGAATGATCCTGAAAGCCATGTAAGTTGCTTTGTCAAAGCCTCTACTGTTCACCACTGACACTACACAGTAATGTTTCTAAGATTATGTTCAGGTTTCTACCTTTGTTCAAGATGACTGTTTTTAGATTTCTGATTCTGCTTTTCAACATCGTCCACTTTATTGTATTTTTTTTCTATGTTCCTGTCAATAGACTACAACTAGTAACTCTAATTCCCAAATGACAGAAGCTGTTACTAATTCTAATAAGTCTCAAGCGGATTCAGAGGCAGTGTCCAGTACTTCACCTTGCATCAAGGATTTGATCCACTTTGCCATTGAGAAAAATCTATCCAAGGTATTATATCAGCTATGTTTTATGATCCTATGCTAGAAGTTTGGACATGTTATTTAATTTTAAAATTTTGAAGAATATTTTGTAAATCGGGTTTTGTTCAGCACTACTTTTCACTATGTAAATTTTCCTCTAGATTTGATTTTCGATTCCAACAACTTGAACTCTAGATTTTGCTATCACAAGTTTTTGGTGAGACTGTCAATAATAAATGCTGACTACATTTTTTTCCATACTTTTTTAATTCTGTAAAAAACTCTAAAATCGCAGCTCATTGGACATTTACACATCTTGCAACACTATCATCTTCTTCATAGTTGGTCAGCCTGATGGTTGTACTCATTTTTCATACTCTTCTTATAATCAATGGTGTGGCAACTACCGCTCTTCTGTGCAAAGTTCTGTGTTGAAATCAGTCGGTTGTAATCTGTCCGAGCAACATGCTCCCAGCATATATGCAGAAGTGTGAGATTTTCAGTTGCCCAAACTTTTGCCTATCTTAGATATTGCCAGCATTGTGCCCATCTATGAAAGAGGTTTACGGAATATGTACGAAAATTACTTTAGTTGACCCTCTTGTAGTAGCGGAAACATGAATTATAAATTGTGTAAATGTCTAATAATATCTGTTTCTCATCACATTCACCAGCCATATTCCCAAAAGCTACAATAACTTGCTTGCTATTTCAGGCCTTTCCTAATTGACTTGTGTAAAAAATGGTTGTTTTATTTCATGACACGTAAATGAAATGTGTGATTGTAGTTGTGGGAAATGTGTGATTTAAATACCATAATCCAATCGTTTGGTCCGAAACAATGATTCAGTCATCTGATTTTCAGGCAGTAAGTCACGTGTCAGAAGTTAACTACACCAATCGTTCTTTCAAAGCTTAGCCAACGTCATCTTTCGCTGGATGTATTCAGGACATTACCGAATGCGAGTCATGGACGTGCCCACTACGGTGTATGATATGACTAAGGTGGGCTGACTGTATCTGAGGTGTTTTCAGTAATCAGTGAATTATAACTGACATATATTAAAATATGGTTGTACTAACCATTCAGTTATGTAAGTAACACTAAATACATTAATCATTTGTGTTTTATTTGGCGACTACAATGAAATATCTCTCTCTTTCCTGTCATCATGCCATTTCAGCCTTCAAATGATAATCAAACGAATTCAACTGAAACGTCCTCTCGATTTGCTCCTTCAGGTAAGATATTTCATTTTCGGACTATAAAGATACTCAAACTATTTTTCATACACTGATGTATCTTAAGGTATCTCAGTCGAATTCTAATGTATTTCCAAAGGTTCATGGTGAAAAATTTTCAAGTTGTTGAACATATGTGTCTTTCTTCAATAGCGGGTTCTATGTAGAACAGTATAATGAGTAGTAAAAATAGTCATATGATGCTGCATAAATATTAAGATAACCGAAACATGTCTTACGCACTCTCGACTCCCTTTCTTAACAGGGAAAGGTTTGTGCAGCACGAATGTTTTGATAAAGAATCGACTGTGTTCAGATCATAACATAACGGCAATCCAAGTCATTCATTGTTTCCGTCTGTGTTGATTTCTTTCTGGATAGAGGCCTAGTTATCTGATATAATATTCTAGGGTCTCTTACCTGCGGCTTGCCTGTTTTCCCTCAGTTTCCAGTGTGTCGTAGGATTGACTTTTGTCTCTCCTAGCACTTTTCTTAACTTCTTTATGCAGTGTACGGTGAACTCAGCTTCTTCTGTTGTCTATCTGTGTATTAGTTCGTCTTCTGTTTTGCCATCACCCTCTCCTCTATCAGTTTCCAAGTGTTCGTAGAGAGCCATTCATTGTTTTACCCCTTCTGTCTTCCCAAGACGGCCGTACACATTTCCTTAAATATCACCTTCAGAGATTTCAAGCGCTTTACCATGCAGGCTTCCTCACTGATAGTACGTAATGTTTCCGACTTCGCTGTGGTGGCTTCAGTGAAGGTGTCTTATGTAGTTTCACCCTCCAATTTCTGATTGTTGAACATTAATTGTGGTCTGCCTCCAGTTTCTCCGATGGCTTTCAACTTGATAATACACATGGACCTAATTTCCCACATGTACTTTTACATGTTTGGTTTTATTTCTGTCACCCCATAGACCTAATTTTCTCTCACCCTACTTATGACCTTTGAAATCCTATTGGTTGTTGATTGTTTTCATTTATCAATGTAATTAGCGTCCCTCAAAGTCATTTAGAGCATATATATATGCAAGCACTGCCATTTATTTTCACTGTTGACACGAGACAGTAAAAGTTCTCTACGTCAACAGTCAGTCTTCTCTTCAGTCGCGTTTCCTGCAGTGTCGTGTAGTGTTCTTGTTGTGAATGTTAGTTAGAACTATAGGCTCGCGAATCGACTAGTTGGGAATTCGTTAGTGCAACTACATTTGTTTTAACGGTCATATCGCGTTACGTTGAAGCCTCTTTGCACTGAATAACTTTCTGACTTCGCACAGCAAACGTCGTCTCCACATTTTCGAGATGGAGATGAAGTCTATCAGATTTTTTGACCACTTATTTAGAAAGGTAAATTGGTCCTAATGGACTGGTTGCTGACGAAATCCCGGGATTTACCGTCATCTCTGGTGTAGACGGTATATCTGATTGTCGATGGAGGGATTCAGGTGCAGCGTTTGGGTTTTATAACTTCTTTATGAATGTATGACAACGCTGTACCATATATGTTTGCATTGTTTTCCGTGTTTTATATTATGATGAGTGATATGTAGATTAAGCGTAGTGCTAGATAACGGAGACAAGCGAATTGATGAGTTTGGGAAGCTGCATTAACTGAGATATGTAAGACACCTGTTACTCATACCGAGCTATAGCCTGCCCCATCGAACAGTTTTAGTTGACATAGGATTGAAGAAGAGTAGGAGCTTGTCACATGAAAAAATTTCATCTATCTATGTAATATTTGACTGTTAGTTTAGGCCACACGATGCATAGAACGATTTTTTAGAGACCATTAGTGGTGACATGGCTTATAATCGTTCTCAATGGTACAGATGTTTTCACTCTTTGTAAGTGCTCAAGTCGTCATGGTTCTTCTGTATATTTGTTTTCTTTTTCTCTGCCTCGGTGCTGTATGGAATGTAGGTGCTCAAAATGATTTACTTTTTTGGAAAATTCCACTCTGAAACTCAATCAGTCAGTCACTCTAAATGTTTGCTTATTCATATTCATTTATTGTTTCTATTGTTTTATATTTATACTTTCAGAGGAAAATATGTTTCAGACTGCCAGCAGTAATTCAGAAAATTGTGATGTAAGTACCTCAAAGACCACGAGCTCTTCAACCTTACCCATGACGTCAGTTTCTTGTGATTCTAGTAATTTAAATAAAGATAATCTTGATTCATCTCCAACTATTTTTCCATCTACAACCGCAGCTGAAATATATGCTGCAGCCGCACGTTTTGCGGCAGTTAGCGCTAATGCTTGTGGAATGGTGAGTTTTTTTCAATGCTGCACTTTGGGCTACTTACTCTTTCTTTCGCATTGTCTATTTTTAAGGGATTTTTGTTGGCCATTTTTTGTTCAGTATTATTATTCTACGATATTGTTATATGTGGTAAACACACTGCACAGCCACAATACATACATATATATATACATATATATATATATATATGCATATATAATTGCTTATATTCGGAGGTGAAATCGATGAAAAAGAACCCTGAATTCAGCACATTTTTAAATAAAGTAGTTAATGCAACTTTTCTTCACCCTTGAGAAGCCTGCAGGGGTAATATTTAACATTCATTTTGGGGTTCATTCAGTTTTTACTAAGCCTCTTTTTATCGATTACGCTTATTATTACATAGAGTTCAATGAATTCTGTACCCTTTTGCCTCATGAAATAATCATGATTAATATAAGCAAATTAACTGACATAATTTGAATGAAACTTCATACACATACAACTTATAGAACCCATTATTAAGTGAAATGTCGCCGGATCAACCGCCGACACTTTTGTTTAGAATCACATAGTTAACCTCAGTCGCGAATAAAGGTTTCAAACATGTACTTAAACCTTTAATTTTTTATCCCATAATAGCATTGTGATATCCTGAGTGCGTTTCTGTCTTTCTGAGTACGGCTTACTTCACGTATTAGTTTATCAGTGAAATCTGTCTGTCTGTTTTCGACATAGAACTTTGCACATATGTGTGGCAGTTCGAGTCGCCACACTCCATGTAGCACACAAACCAAGAGAAGAAAGTAGGAGAAATGCATAATATAGACAGTAAACAGAGGTGTGAGACAAAGGAATAGTAATAATGAAGAACAAAACAGTTTAATTGGAAATCATAAGTCACAAGGAGTGGATGCATCTGCGCCACTGAGAACGATTTTGAGCCATGTCACCAATTGTTTCCAACCATTGGTTTTTACCGTTCCGAGGACCCCAACCAGGAAGTCTACACCTTCCTACGTGGCTTAGACTAACTGTTGTGGATTTCATTGACTGGTGCCATGTTTTTGTTTGACCACCGCTAGCTCTTTTCCAGTCTGGCCCTATGTCAGCTAACATTGCCCATTGTCGAGGAAGGCGGTGAAGTGAAGTTTTTTGAATATTGTTCTAGTCCCCAATCACTTTTATACAAGTTATTGCATTTTATCATGTAATGGAGCTTTTTTTCACTGCAATATTTGCTTATATTATTTAAAAATTGCATTCTCAATAAATGATTACTCTTTTGAACAAAATCTTCCATGTTTTCAGAATACTGATCCCTCAGCAATATCTGTCTCCGAATCTGTCGAAAATGGTAATCGAAATGTTTCTCATTCATCATCATCATCGATTGCTTCATCGACTACTTTTATGCAGTCAAAGTCTGATCAGTCTGACCTTTCATGTGTCGATATAAAGAAAAAATGGGCAGCTTCTACAAGTCTTCCTTGTAATACCTTAGGTTATTCGCATCAGAATGCGGCTGGTCGTTCACTGGACCCGTCTGCTTCCAGTAAAGCAATTTTGATAGGAGATTTTCTTACTGCTCAACAACTTGGTAGAACTGACTCGTCTAGCTGGGGCAACAGCCACGTAACTTCACGTTCAGGTAATGTCTGACTTACATGAATATAATCTGTATCTTCTTTAAATGTGCATCATTTCAGACTTTTACTTTTTCTGTAATCTTATGGTGAATTAAAGAGCTTCGTATTTTGATGCTCCCGCTTACTTTTGTATATTTTGCCCATTTATTTATTTGACGTCCATTTAGCTGATTACACAGGATCAACCCATCAGCTATCCCGATCTATTGATCCCTCAACATTACCTGTACCTGTTTGCCATCCCTCGCATTCTTCGACAGCTTATAATAATTATGAGCCTCAATCAGGGTCGAATTATCGATCAATATCGGTTGTTTCTGGTAAGTGATACTTCATAATCTTCCAAATTTACCTTCATCGCCTATGATGATTAAACCATTATACTCATATAAGTGTATCGCCTTCCCAAAAAGTCATAGGTTATTTGGATTCACATGCGATTTTTTTGGGGTAGCCATGTTAAAAATGCCACCATGACGTCCATGACTATTGGTTTGAGGCATGTAGAGGGGTGTAGTTTCAATATGTAAAATGAGTGGAAAGTCGTAATCGTCCACAGCCGACACTAGTTGGTTAAACAGTCCTAAGCTTGGAAAGAGGGAAAGTTGAGAGTGTGACTGGTAAGTCTGTGGCGTGTGATACTGACAAGATATATCAGTAGTATATAGACGCAGACTGATAGGAAGTAACCAAAGTTGAAAACATTTTGAGTCAGTGGCTACAGAAGTAGAAGCCTTTCTTCCTAAAATCTGGACTTAGCCTACGTTGTGTTGAGGAAATAATCTCACTGGACATTTGTTCGTCTCAAGGTATAACCTTCAAAAAACCATAACAGTTTATTATCATCTAACCTAACCGACCTTAAATGTGGCTGAAGATGTATAAATATATTGTTTTTCCTTAATAAAAAAGCCCAACATCAAGTCTCTTGTCTTCTCCCTTTACAAACCCACTCAACGTGAAACCTCGTCGCCACTGAAACATCAAAGCACAATAAATGAACTTACTCTTCGCGGGAATCAGGGAAGCTAAATAGCCCCAACTAAAACCCAGTTGGCTTATTTTTCTTGTAGAGAGTAGCAAAAGTACGCAGAGACATGAAAAGTACGCATGAGATTTGAAGCTTGCAAGGTTGCTCAAATTTCAGAAGATATAAGACAAGTGTTTGGAGTCTGTGACAGCTTAAAGGAGCCTATAATGACAGTCAACTTTCTTCGTGGAATTAAGCAACAGTTTCAATTACTCTGTTATTCTCAATCTACGGTAACAATAAACCATAGCGATCCAAAACGGAACTACCTAATAAAGACCTTAAGAAGTCTCTATCGACCAGTCCCATTAGTTCGAAGTGAAATCGTGTAATTTTAAAAAACGTTTGTAGAAAAGTGAGGTTGAAAAATAGTTACACGGGGTAATGTTCATGTATGTGTTGCAAGAAAACCATCCAATTTCTCATTGGAGTCCACGTAGATGGGACGAACCAATTTCTGTGCGTAAATTCGTCTAGATAACTGTCAATCACCATGTTTCTTCATCAATTCACTGTTCTGACTCTCTTCTTTCGATGGAATTTGTGTGAGTCCCATCCAATAGATTGACAAAATCGAAGGGATTTTCCGCTACGGTAGTCTGGGCACCTGTACACAAACCCACCAATAGAGGATACGTATCCCTCTAAATGCATTACTCCCCCTCACCTACATGTGTCCTCACTTCCTATGAAATTTGGATGAAATCCGCTGCGTAATTCTTGTATGGCATCCATAATTCCGCTCAGATACTACGGGCTCAACCCATTGTTTGCTCAAAGTTCACTTATTAAGTAAATTCGTTTTGGGTTGCTATATTTTACAGTTACCCGATCTACCTTCAGCCTTGAGTTTTCAATTTCAGAAACTAGTTTTTTATCAGTGGAACACTCGTTGGATCCCCGACTGAAGTTTAGTTTTTCAGGTTTGTGTAAGGCTATGTGAACAGTACCATCTGACTATGCGATAACGTATGGGCAATTGAAGTCTCATATGTTAAACTCAGTCGGTTTCCATAAGTATGTTATGCGATTCCCATCCTTCAATAATAAGGTGCCTTTTGTGTATCTATTGTCGAAGAGACCATTGGAATAAGTGTGATAATTTGGGTTGTCCATGAAGTTGTGTGTATCTAAAGTATTAGTATTCAGATTTCTTTAAATTATTCATTTACAGGGAATAATTTCTTCATACTTTGGTGTATTATAAGAGTCGTCATTCGTTGTTCTACGCGCTTGCTAACCTTGCAAAACTTAAATCTCTTCTGACTGACTGGACTGGTTTCAACATAGAACTTTGCACCGATGTGCAGCAGTTCGAGTCGCCACACTTCACTCAGCATACGAAACCAGAGAAGAAGAAGAAGAAAGTGGAAAGAGATGCAAAATATAGACAGTAAACAGGGATATCAGGCCAAAAGAATAGTAATAACGAAGAACAATATAGTTTCATTGGGTATTATAAGTCACAAGGAGTGGATGCATCTGCGCCACTGAGAACGATTTTGAGCCATATCACCAATTGTCTCTAGCCTTCACTGGTTTTTACCACCTCGAGGACCCCAACCAGTAGGTCTACACCTTCCGACGTGACTTAAACTAAGTGTTGTGGATTTCATTGACTGATGAGAACATGTTTTTGTTTGACCACCACTGGCTCTTTTCCAGCCTGACCCTATGTCAGCTAACATTGCCCGTCGAGGAAGGTGATAGCTGGGCATGTGTAACATATGTCCTAACCATCTCAATGGATGCAGCTGCTTGATGGCCTCGTCAATTGATTTCCCCTTCTTACCTAGCACTCGACCGATACCTCACCTCAATACTGATCACTCTATTACGCTACCTAACACAGGAGAAGGAACGCAGACACCTATGATCAAAGACAGCTAGGCAACCTTTCCTCGTCTTCCACTTTCAATGACCATGTTTCACAGCCATAAAGGAGGACGGAGAGAACTGCTGAGCCAGTACACACGTTCTTTGGTTGACAGCTAGATATCACATCTACGCCAGAGACGGCGTAAACTGGCATATGCAAAACGAGCCTTCTGCATCCGTGCTGAGATTTTGTCAGCGATCAACGCTAACGCAACTTCTTAAATAAGTGAAGTACTCAACACGCTCTGCCACTTCACTCCCTATTTCTAAGCTAGGAGTCAATGAAGTCCAGTCCTGTAGCATCATCTTACATTTAGCGGTAGCGAATTGCATGCCAAATATTCGAAGATTGCACCTCAAAGTGTTCAGAAGACTCTGCATTTTTTTTCAGCGTCTTCACCTAGAAGGACTATATCATGCGCATATGCTAAGTCAACGAGATTATTCCCTGGCAACAAGTCAATCCCTGAGTCACTGAAGTCAGTTAGGGTTAATTCGACTAGTACATCTATGATGAAATGAAACAGAAATGGGGACAGTGGACATCCCTGACGGCCACCACTAGTTGTTATCACTTCAGATGACAACTGGCCGTAAACTCTCACCTGGCTGCATGAGTTCTAGTAGAATGCCCTGATCAGTGCAATGTATATTCTTGGCATTCCTTTCACAGCCAAACGTTGTCAGAGTACCTTTAGTTCAAGAAATATAACGATTGTTGAACGCCGGTAGGAATGCCTATGTTCTAGAATCTGTCGAAGGGTGAAGATCTGATCAATACACCCTCTTCCTGGCCAAAAACCTGCCTGGTTTTCTCGTGTTTATGCCTTCCGAGCACCACTTAGTCTACGCAGTATTATTGAGCCTAGGATTTTAGATACTATATTAGTCAAGGTAATCCCTCTGTGATTATCACAAGACGACTTGTCCCCCTTCTTGTATATCGGGATGATCAGCGACTTACACCAACCCGATGGGACTTCCTCTGATTCCCAGACGCTGCCTAGAATCTCAGTTAATGCAGACAGTAAACTGTCTCCACCGTACTTAAATACCTCTGGAGTCAATAAATCAGGTCCCGCTGCTTTGCCTTGTTTCAGATTGGTGACAGCTTTAGTAACCTCAGTTAAGGAAGGAGGACCTGTGTCTATATCCCATTCAGGGAGGTGTTGGATGTTCGGCAGGTTAAGCGTGGTTGTAGGCCAATTAAACTGCTCTTCATAGTGTTCTTTCCAGCGTTCCAGTCGTCTATCCTGGGAGCTAATCATGGTGCCACTTTTCTGCGAGATTGTTTCGCTTATCATTTACCTTTTGCCACCTGTTTCCCTGATAAGTCTGAATAGTTGTCTGGTTTTGCCAATCGCCGATGCCTTTTCCATCTCTTTCGCTTTTGTCGCCCATCGCAGTTCACGGTCGTTGCGAAGACTTTTTGTTAGTCTTCGTTTAAGTACCTTTCGCTCCTCATCATAATCGGAGTTAGCTGGAATCAGTCTTCTTGCGTCAATCAGTTCGGATGAGGCGGCAGAGATCCAATGGCTTTTATTAACTTGAGGTTTTAGATTATTGACAGCTTTCACGGCTGTGTCCACAACTAACTGTATGTTGTGCCAGGCTACCTCAGGGGAAGTCCTGCTGTCGACCTCAGAAACTCGTTTCACTATTTCTTCCTTAAATAAGGACTTAGTGTCTCGATGTAGTTGGGGTCGTAACTGTTTCGCTGCCGTCAATTTCTTATGTCCATTTAGTCGTAGGCATAAACATGCGCGAACCAGAGAGTGATCAGAGTCTATGCACGTGTTCCAGAAAGAGTAGCAGTCTTCTACTGACCCTCGCCAACGATACCCATTCGCTATGTGGTCTATCTGAATCCAGCGTTGATTTGGTGATGGAGGTCGCCAGGTTACTCATTGTCTCTCTTTGTGCCTAAAGTTAGTGCTAACTGGGAACAGATGATTATCTGAGCAAAACTGAAGAAGACGATCACCGTTGTCGGTTCTTCGGCAGGGAAATCCATACGTACCACCTACATACTTCTCAGTCTGGCACAACTTCCCTACTTGGGCATTGAAGTGGCCTGCTAAAACAACTATATCTGAACGTTTTGCTTTTTGCAGCAAATTAGACAGTTTCCGGTAGAAGTCATCTTTTAATTCATCAGAACTGCAATCTGTTGGAGCGTAAGCGGAGACTACGAAAAGGCATCGGCGGGTAGCGCCGTCTTTCCTTCCTTTAACGGACCCGTTCAGGCGGACCGCGCACATACGACTATCTACTGGGATCCAGTCAATAAGTGATTTTTCCGCCCTAACACTCAGTGCTATCCCTACACCTGCGAGTCCTCGTGAGCTAGCTGAGGGGTCTCCGACACCCTTAAAGTGATTTTTGCAGATTCACCTTGTTGACCCGGTGAGGTCAAGTGAATGACCACACTCGGGTCTTGTATGCGTGTCTCCGAAACACAGCATACATTCATGGCTCGAGGTGTCAGAGTTTTTGCTAGCGATGCCTGTTGTCCGATTTGTCAGAGGGTCCTGACGTTGAATGCTCCTATATAAAGTTGGCGGCGTGGCTCTGAGAGGCTGTCGACGGTGTTTCCATGGTTCTCATCGTGGTCTGTGGTCACAGATTGAAGTGAAGATGACTCTTTAGCCTGAAGAATAGTACCGATTGTAGTAGGAAAGTAAGGTGATGTGGGTAAAATAGAATGGTGCTCGGGGAGGCTTCGTGTGCTCTTGGAAGTGTGTGGGCGGTTGTTACTTTCCGGCTGCCCACACCGTGGAAGTTGATTGATTCTTCGGGTACCTGAAATAGAAAGAGAGTTAGTATTGCGTGACTTCAGAGCCCAGAGGACAACTGCTTGAGACCGGTCACACACGGCCTGTATGAACTAGTTTCTTGGTTTGGTTCCGTATCAGTAAACTTACCGCCGGTTTCGGATCACCGTAGGGTAAGTCGGGATGTACAATTGTTGGGGTCGACCTTTTCTAACACCCTTCCTCCAGAGTGAAGAGACAACATAGCTGGCATGCTGGTCATCTGAGGGAAACACCTTACTGCTGTTAAATCCCTGTTCCCTAACAGTAAAACATCGTCCAAAGAATCCCAGCATAGTTTAAAAAGCATTCCTACACTATGGCGGTAACTGGTTTTACTCTAATCGCCATAATAACAATCTTCCTTGCATGATAGGACCTGCAAGAACATTAGTTCCAGCCAGTATAGCTTGTTGGGTGACTGCGTTATGCCAGCCTCACCACCTCATCAAGGTAGCAGCTATCTGTCGGGCTTAAATCTGTTCAGTCTGATGATATATTTGGCTAACTTATTTTCACCACTAAAAAGATACAGATTTCATTGGCGTGTTGAAATTTATTTTTTTTGTAGTGTTTGTAAAACTTGCTTACAATACAATCTTGTTGTGAATACAGAAAAAGTTTGTCATTTGAATCATAATTTCATTATAGAAAAAACTATCTTAGAACAGGTTGGTATTTCGCTCAGTAATAGTTTACTTATATCGGTTTATTACGTTCAATGCTATACATTTAACACTTTAGTGAATGAAATGTTTACTTAATTGTATTTTTAGACAAAGGTTTGAGCAATGATTTCCTCGCCGAACACGCTATTAGACTCGCCATGCAAGCTAAAGCTGCTGCAGCAGCGGCAGCAGCTGCCTCCGCCTCTGCATCTATCCAACTAGATGGTGGTCGTCCGTCTGCATCCATAGTCGAGAATAACTTCAATTCAGAACGCTGTGTATATTCTCCTTTGACACCAAGTCCAGTTAAAGTAAGCAAATCTACCATATTCTATGCATTTTATTCAGTAGAATGAATCTTACGTTTTACCCGATTTATGACCGTTTTCGTAAATTTTTTGTCTTTTTCAGGTTGATGGTGTATCAGCTACTGTCAGTCTTTCTTCTTCCGTTCAACCGATTCTTTCACGAATACAAAATCTAAAAAATGATGGTATGCATCACTTTTCTCCTTCATTTGCTAACCAATCAGTTGGTGTATCAAATTCTATGCATTCGAAACTTGACAGTGATCCTAGCATATCTATTAATGCAGCTCAAGTTGCCTCATTTGTTGCCAATGCCAACAGATTGTATTTAGAAGAAGTTGGATCTTACACTTCGCGTGATAGGTCTGATTCTATGCGAACACTAACCAGTAGTGAAGCTACTCAACTTTACAGCGTATTGCAACACTTACGTCAGCAAAAACAAGACGGTGATTCTCTTTCACAACAGAAAACTTGCCATGTTTCAAACACGAATATAGATATTTCAAAGCAAAATTTCAGAGAACAGCAGACAGAAGATATGGGTATTTTTCCACCTCGTCCACATTCATCTGAAAATACTTCAGATCATCCTGTTGATCCATACTCGGAAAGAGAAATTATGAGAGGAGCACAGTCAAGATTTATGGTAAATTTTAGTGTTGTCTATTATTTTTTGAACTACGGGGCAATTTATGTAGCTATAATTATTTGATCGCGTACTGATGTAAATCACTAAATACTTATCTTTGCTGGGTCACATTAAGATGTAACTTTTATGCCATCTTTTACTAGCTATCCGTGATCTTAGTCGCTTTGATAGTATGACAAGTTTTTGCCGAAGTTTGCTTGATTATGAGAGACTACAGATCAGTAGTCCATTGCCGCCAAATATCTGCTATGACAACCAACATTTCCTAGATTACGCTGTTTTATAAATAATGAGGATCCTCGTGTAAACACATCATGTGGTAGCGTATATGGTAATGGTGTGTGATTTAAAACGCAGTTTCTAATTACAGATGTTTAGGCACGTAGATGGTGTCCATTAAGGGAATTTCAAAACGTCTAGGTTATATTTTCATTAGTATTCGATTCCTTATGGAATGACAAAGAGACGAACCATGTTTACATGTACCGATCCGTCCACTTAAAAGTTAATTCCCCTTACAATTTTCTATTGTTTTACTTTGTTGACGTGATAAAATATATGACAAATTTCACTTACATTACATTACACTTCGTTATACATTCAAATTCATCCTTAAAGATGCGTACATTATGTTTCTCATTTTTATTGAATAAATAATTAGTTTTTGTTGGGAGTAATATTTTTCAGAGCACTCCGTTTGTAATATCTCAAATACAGGGTTACAATTCTCCACTAAATATGCCTGAAGATTCACATGGGGCCCGTAAATCAGTTTCACGTACTGGACATTCGAATTTTATTCCCGACTCAGTAGATCCTTCATGCGATCCGTCTGCACTCGCTTCCGAAGCCCGCTACCGTCGTCGAGGATATACAGAATCGCAAATTAATCTCCGGCATATATCCAACGCTCCTGGACCTAATATGGGTTCTAGTGTCGGAGACAGCCAGTTGGTTCCTGTTCATTCTGAAATTCCTAACAAGTTACCTGCTGTTGAAGAGAAAGGAGATGTTAGTCAGACATCTTTTACTACAGCTACTTACATAGATGCCTTGATAAATAGTCATTTAAGTAAAGTAAGTATTAAATTGATATTCAGAGCTAATTTTCATATATTTTCCTCTATCTTATTGAGAGTTAGGTTATACGTTAAGATTCCATCTGTATATTTTTTTACGCCATTAACTACGTGTTTCCAATGTAATTTAAGCAAATTACTTACACAACTTTTGTTGTGTGTGAGTAACTTGATATGATTATGAGTAATAATTTGTGCTCGAAACGTCATCATTTAATATTACTGTGTAACACTGTGTGATTTATCAAAATAAAATCTTATCCATAATGGAGTTACACTGTACCACAGTGCCCAAGTTTTATACTTGTATTTTCTCACCAACCTTCAACACCACATTGAGCTTGAAAAATTGATGTGCTGCACTACTGTGCGAAATTCTACGTTGGAAATCAGTCCAACCCTGAGCTAGCACTAACGTAATTCGGACGTGCATAGTTAAAGCCACTAAGTTAAGGTCATCCTTAATTGCCTCTAGGCTGCGATTGATTGGTGCATACGTGAAGATGAATAAGAGGAAGTGCTTCTCTGGTCCACCGCTTTTCGCTGTATTTTAACGCTGTAACCTCACTGCACATACACTACCACTAAAGGGATCTATTCGATGAATAGCCCTTCGGCTCTAGCTCTTGAAGCAATTCTAATTCCAGATTCCGATGTTACAGGATCTCCGGATATTCACACGCAGTGAATCTTATTCAGACTTGCAGCTGGAGAATATCTTCGAATCAATTCACTGGGATCTTATATGCAGGTCCCTGTAAAGTAGCATTTATCAATTAGGGTTCTCTTCAGATCTACCTCTTGTCCGATTAGTGTACGATCACTGTAGATGATAGCAAGCTTGGACGCGACATGCGTATTCAGAAAAGCTGTGCTAGATACCTCACTGGAAGCAAACGCTCTGAAAGTAACTAGATAATCAAAATGGTACGAATAAACTGAGATTTCCAACAGTAGCAAATCGGAAGCGAAAACTAGGATACGAGAAAGCCTAAAGTTAATAAGAGTAAAAGTGAGACTAGACGACATATATATATATATAAATGAAAAAGGATGAAGTTTCTGAAGAAATAATCTTTGATAGTCTTTATTCAAAAAGGATTTTCCACTGATTGTTGACTTGAAAACAAGGGCTGATATACTGCCTGGACGCCCAGACCGAAGCAGTTGATTATGTTAAGGGACCAGCCGCTGAGTATCTGACTTGAAGTCTGATCCAATAGACAGCAAAGGTTCTATATTACGATTCTTTCAGTGTTTCCCAGCTCCCCACTTTGGACTTTTATGTTTAGGGGTCCGGTGATAAGCACTAAACATTCATGTTCGCCATTTCATTCCTCTGCTAACACTTCCGCTGCAGGAAGACAGTGAGTATGACTTATCTCGCAGAAATTATGAACGTGTGGAAACCAGAACATTTTAGAAGGAAATCGTAAGTTTACCCATCATTACCAGGGTTATTTATTGTAAGTCAAGGTGTATAACAACACTCAGATATTAATTTCACTTCCTAAATATATACTCAGCGGTTTTGCTTTTGATATTCGTGGTACCGTTATTTTCTCTTGTTTTGCAAAATTATTACTATTCCTTTAGACAGTAATACAGACAAAAGCCTGTGGTGTAAGAGCACCTTAAGGTGATGTAGTAGGATTCTATTTTTCTATTTGATTTCACCTATTTACATAGCAACAGGTTAATAAATACTCGTATGTTCTGTTACTTGCTTTTATTTCCTTGTATCATAGTCGTCTAAAACACAGGTTGACCGCCCTCGAACCTCTTCTAACTCCATTGAATCGGATGTCAACCAACCTATATTAGTTTCCATCACTTCAGCTAGTCCTTCTAGCTTCAGCAAATATAGCTTACCTGAATTGACTGTGGAGGAGTCGAAAACATTCAATTATCGAACAGATAATTCAAATGCTGTCCATGCACACCAGTCTATTGCAGGAAAACGTTCATCCATACCTATGGGTTCAAATACACTAGAGAACCAAATTAATAAGGTAATTTGATTATATATATATATATATATATATATATATATATATATATATATATATAGTGAGGGAGTAAGCTTCCCTTTATGTTTAGGAAAGATTATGTTAGACTTTTAATTTGTGTCAATTTTTTTCACAATTTTCTAGTCTCGAAGTTGTTTGGTACGAACCTAATCCTAAGTAATTAAAGTTTAATTCTAACATGAAAGTAAACTACGAGAAATCTCAATTACCCGGAAAAATTTCATATGCTTGGCTATGAGCCCCATATGTATTTGTTTACTGGCTGATAGCACTACGTATTCGTACATCTTGAAATAGGTGCGGCAGGATCTGTTTCTCTAAACTCAATCATGCTCATCCAATAGATTGTGTTCGAAATCTAATCCAGAAGATTTTACTATTTCTTTGAGTGATATATCGAATTAACTAATTGAATATGAGAGATTGCATACTATAACACAATGTCCAAGTTAAGATCAGTGTCATAAAAGTTTGAAATGTGGTGTAAAAGGAGAAAGGAAATAACAAGGTTAAAAACGATTACGCATCAATTGTCGGCATAATATATCTCAATATTTGATACTGCACTTTTCTCCTATTATATTTCAACCTTTAGTGATACTGATTGATTTTAACTTGGTCCTCTTTCAATGTTAGCTGAGCTCTACTCAGCATGTCAACTATGTTGTCACGTCACTCAGATTATGTGGGTCTATTTTCGACTCGACTAGTGTCTTTTTCGTATTGTGTAAATGTTATCGAAAACATACAATTTTACTGACACATCCTTGAAAACGTTATTGATATGAAAAAATATAGTTTACGTATGCAACTGATATTACCTAAAAGAAATGACAGAAATTATCCGTGCCTTAATTAAGTTAATCTCTGCATACTTCATCTTTTCCCGCTTGATTATAAAATCCTTGGCTAAATGACTTTTATTTGGATTGACTTGTATATGGTGTCCAAATCGCAGTGTTATCCAGCGATGTCAAGTAGTACTATGTTGAAAGTTACGGCTAATTCGAAGGTGAATTATTAATTTTCTAACTATCTCATTTTAATTTCAGGCTATTGCTGAAGAAATTCGAGCTAAAACTTCTGCAAGAAATTCAGTTATACCGTCGAACGTGTGTTCTCCTCATCAGTCAAGGACTCCGTCACCTGTTAGCAAGTTTCATTCTACAAGAAATTCAGGTTTGTCAACCCAGTTTCGATGTGTATATATATATATATATATTGTATAAATTCACACTACTCACAAGTAACTCAAATCTGTTTTTCAAAAAAATTACTCTGCTGACTTCAGTGATTTAGTTTTGCATGTTCGTATGTATGATTAATAATTAGAATTTTATTGCGTACACTCTGAGTGGGGAAATAAAACACTTTTTGGATCAATTTTGAACTTTAATATTTAGACGTATGTGGTTTTCATATTACTACATTGTATTTTCTTCGTCAACAAGCACCGCTATAATACATACAACAAGGCATTTTTCGGAGATCATTATTCCAACCAATAGATTACAATAGGCGAATTCAAATGAGATCTTTGTAAACATGCCAATTTATTGGTTTCTTACCTATTTTATTTCATTGTTTTAACATTCGTACTAAACGTTTACAATAATCTTCTTCATTCAAATCCCGTTTCAGAATCTCAATTTTGCAACATGAATGTTCCGCCCAAAAAACAAGATCGTTCACTTTCCCGCTCCCCTGGAATGGTTAATTGTTCAGTGCTGACCGGTTCTAGAGATCATATGAGCCATTCTGCAGCTAAGATGTCTGCACCTGAATCACATACCATGAAAATATCCCCTAGCAATCAAAACGTTATGAATAAAACGTGTCAAAAGTTGACTTCTGTTGATGAAAGGCGAAAAGCTCCTGAATTGGGAAATAATGTTACAATTGATTCACCAATGAACCATTCAGCTTCACCAGTCAGCGACATTGAATCTCCTGGGAAGTTACAGATTGATTTGGCTGTGAGTTCTGTATAAACTAACAATGATACAGTATGATTATATTTATGGTTATGTTAACGTGTATTGAGGATAAATGATATTACATAATCAGTTCACCCTCAAATACATTAGTGTTTTAGGAGACCATCAAGCGTCCTGATAACAGATATCATCTCACAGTGGTTACTAACAGGCTGCTTATCAACCAAAACTATTTAGAATTTATTGAATACAGACATGGCAACATGTGAAAACCAAGAGATGTACCACAACAATAATATATAAAGAAAATAAACGTCATCCAGAAAGCAAGCATATTTGTCAAGATCATTCATTAGTTCATGGTACCTACTGAAAGGGAAGAAAAAAGGAAGTTGCAGCAGATTCTCCATTGATTGCAATTCTTAGCCCTATCTGATCATGTTTCGCGTAACCAATTTGAGCCATCCTTTGGGTCCAAACCAGGGAATCGTGATGTACCAATTGATGTTAACCTAACACAAATGTGCTCCATCCCACAACGGTGCATCATAGGCTGACCATCTCTCCTCTTTTTTGTATCCAATCCCAGGGTTAGCGAACAGAGACTGTTATGGAAGTCTGTAGAGTGACTATTTGTAGCACATATCCAAGACACTGAATCTAGCATTTCCAGATGACGATACTCAATGAATATTGATCTCCATCGTGTTCAAACACACACTGCCGGACCTCAGAGTTATTTACACCACGATACTGTCGGATGAAAACAGTTCCAAAGAGATAGAAATCATCGAATACGCAGTCTCCGCACACTGCACTTAGAAGAATACAGACTTCATAGGTGTAGAGCAAGACTGCGCCCATCGAAGCATTGTAAACTTAACCTATGACTGCCAGGCTGACGTCGCAAAAGTGTCAGTGGTAGCTCGAGTTGATGTATGCCACTCTAGCTTACTCTATACGGTTTTACATCTCGTCTATCACACCTCCGCCAGCACTCTCACAACTACCTAAATACACGAATTTGTCGACAACGTCAAGTGGTTCACCTACAAAGGTGTGAGTTTGGTTGAACGCTCCCCGAATCTTGCAACAGTATTTTGCATTTAGACGGTTCAAAACACATACCATACTTACAGACACTAATCTCTAACTGATTCAGTGGGATTTTGGTGGCCTCCATACTGTCGTACAGTAGGACATTATCGTTTGCTTACCCGAGGTCGAAAAGTCTTTTCCTAGGAAGTAGGCTTACACCACCATGCACTTCTTCCGTTGCTGACTCTGAACATCATCGGCGGTAAAGTTAAAGAGTTATGGAGAGAGATCTGGTAACCTTGTCTAACCCCCACTATTGGTTAAGAACAGTAGTGATAGCTGCTTGTTTGTCCCAACTCTCCCTGAGTAGTTTTTGTATAGGGTTTTGATAACGTTGACAAACTTCTCTGAAATGATGTTTTTTTCCAAAAACATTTGATAATGTTAAACATTTATTTATGCTTCATCGTAGCATCGTATAACTATCTCAGCTTGGGTATATGTACTCGAATTTTGAAGTGCTGACTAACTGAGTATTAACACTGAACAGGGCACAAAAGCGCACTAGTTCACGTTGCCAAACTGCATATAGTGCACAGAGTTAGGGAAAAAGAAACTCAAAAAAATAATGGGCAGAAATGCACAAGAGAAATAATAACAACGTGGAGAGTTTAATAGATCTGAGAGAGTGTTTTTGAATGACGTTACCAACAGTCTCCAGTTGTTGGTCCTTAGAATCTTGCAGTTTATACCTCCATATATGGCTCAAACTAATATATAAAGTTTTCATATACTGACTCCAGGTTTAGGTTTTACCACCCACCAGCTCTTTCCCAATCTAGTCCTATGCCAGCCAACATTTCTCTTCGAGAAAGGTTATGACTTGACATGCGTAACACGTGTCCCAGTCTCAATGGATGTTGCTTTACGATATTATCGACTGACTTACCTTCCTTATCTAACACTACACCTGACCTCAATAATACTCACCGTATTATACCGCTTAGCACGAGGAAGAGAATGCAAACATCTGTGATTGAGAACAGCTAACCTTTTTGATATAAATATGATAATTTGTTTGGAATGTTTTTATTGGAACACTGAAAAACACTTTCACTTACTACCTGACATAAATTCTGTCCAGAGCGATGTTGATAAGAAATTTATATGTTTATTGTCGTTTGTGTTTGCATCACAAAGAATGTTCTCCAAATCACTTTATAACTGTAATGGCAATGAAATGTTTAAAAGATACAACTTATGCTGGGTTGAATTGTTTTTATTATTATTGTGTGGTACATCTTTTCAGTGCCGAATTGTAACAAGTTTTTTTTGTGTTTAAATAATAAAATAAAAGATTGGATTGTTGTCTCGAAATTGCATTATCTTCGGACATTCCACCTATAACGGGTCTTAATTCACAACATAATTCATCAGAGTCGTTTCTAACCCATGTTGAGTTTTCCTTTAGATGACCTATATTAGTGTCTGAAGAATTTTCAATTATGCCTAAACTGGGTTGCATTTTTGTATTTACTTCTCTCTATCTTGCTTCTATCGTGTTTTCTGTGTTAATTAGGTATCACTACTTTTGATGCATTCCTATTGTTTTTACAAATTACGATTTCTTTCTTTCTTATAGACTTCAAGTTACTCACCTAAAGTTGTACATGAATCAGCCAACTCTGTCATCTCAGGTAATTCAGATTGTAGACGTAACAATTCTCCAGATCATTGGTCGTATGCATACTCAAATGATATTGGTAAAGATTGTGATCACAATTCTTCTAAAATACTAGAAGCATGCAATATTGATTCATCAGATTCTACCTCAATGAAAACACTTTAATGTCATTTCTAACCATCCATAATATGCCTACTTCTGTCTCCTTCCTAACTAGTCAAAATCTTGATTTGTACATATAAATAACTGTTGTTATAATTTTCTTTCTGGTTATTAAGCCTTTTAATCAGTGTAATGCGTAAAGTGCGTTTGTCTCAAATTGCAATAAAATCAATTACTTTGACTTTCAGTAAAATTTCCTGTGTCCTATCGATTCATCATTCAGAATGTGCTCTTTGATTCTTGCACTTCGTCCAAAAGTGTTGTGTTTTTTTATAGAAATTTTGTTTTCTCTATTCATAATATATATAACTTTCGGTGTGTTTTAATATAAGGAAAAAGAATGCTTTGATATTAACAGACAAAATAACAGTGCAACAATGATTTATTTTTACGTTACATGTCTATTACATGAATGAGTATTTTTACCCTATCATGTGTTTTTTTTTCATTTACTCTCTTCCCTATTCACATTTGTTTATACTGTCTTTTATATATTGCCCTTTCATCTAAAATTTATTTCTACTAAGGTTATGTCACATTGTTTGGCATAGACATTGACAAAGAGCTAAAGTGCACATACTCATATTAATTACATGTACGCATACAAATCACTTTTTTAATCAAAACTTCATCTGGTGTTTTTGTTAATTTCATTTTTCACTCGTTGACAATCAGGTTTTTATTGCATGCGACGTAAAAAATTAGTCTTAAATTCAAACAAATACCTAATCTCTTGTTTGTTTTTGTTCGATGTTATATGTGTCCCCACCCCGCTTGTGTTACATGTTTTTACACAAATTGGTATGATTGTGAACAATAATTTCTGCTCGAAACGTCATCCATTTGTTAATACACTCCAGCACTGTGTGACATTTAAAATAAACTTATCTCATATGGAATTTTACACGTTTCGTCTGTTGATTAGTCTTCAGTTCATGTGTAATCAACCCTTCTGAAGATAATTATACCTCCCTTCCTCACAGTGATCTTGCCTAAATTCTTATAATTAACTATGAATAATGTTATCATGCTAATAAATGAAAACAGGGTAAATCTTCATATATTCATTTTTTGTCACTTCATTACCGTAATGTCGCCTGATATGTGAAAAGGTTGATGTTACCACCCAGATATCTGTATGTTAAGTGCGTTAGGAATGGAATTCGAGTGTCGAAATCCAAAGCCGTACGATTGGTTTCTATTATGCGATTACAAATAATTTAAAAGATATCCTATTATGAAGGCTTAAGTATCATGTGTTGTTAAAAATTTCATAACAGCGGTAAGAATTTTAGTGAAGTATGCGCTGACACCAATTCCTGTATTTTGTTTAGCCAAAAGCTAACTCGTGTAGCGATATAATTTTGAAAACCCTATCATTTCAAAAGTAAAATCGAGTTCGCTCTTTATTGTTTTTGTTTAAAGGCAGCAATTAAAGCGGAGACAATAATATATATATACATGTATATATGAAATTCATCCATTGAATCTTTGAAGCTTCATAAATTATGATGCTTAGATAGTGTGTTAAACGCACCTAGCCAGGAAATTTCTCGAATAGCAATGTTAGCGGAAATGAGACAAGACTGGAAAACAGTGGTTGTGTTCATGCAAATATGAGACGTGAAATGTCAAGTTTTCGCACCACAACATAAGCTGTTCGTGGTGGAAGGTTTAATGCAGCAGACAAGTAAATAGTAGTGACTTAAGAAGTTATCAGTCACTAAATGTTATATTGATGTCAATTTGGAGATTAGATATACCTGTATAGTTGTGAATTGTTTCGGCCCGTTCCAGGAAAAGTCCCATAAAAATAAAAAATTAGGTTTAATTTAAGAAGAAATGTATTTTGTTAAATCTGTTACATGCTATTATAAATTACAGAAAACCATAAGTAATCATCAGCCAACAAGAAATGAAGGCTTTTTATTCATATATGAACGACTGTATACCTGTCTTGATTGTGTCTTACATATGCTTGAATAAATCCAGCCTATATAACGAAAGTTAAGTATCTGAATCTACGAAGTTTGATCGTTCATATAGAACAGATGTAGACGGAAGATTCAGTCCCTTGTCTTTCCTGATTAGGATTATAATATAGCAAAAAAAATTTCCGTGAAACACTTTCAAAAATTGCTTGAATATACAACAGTACTACTTCACACACACAGATGTTGGGAAGTGACTATCATTAATAAAAGCCTGACACCACGTCCAATAACAAAGCCTATTAAATGAGAGTTTTTAGCAGCACTTTTATCACGACATTCAAATAAGCAGTCCATCAGAGAAACAAAACTCCAAATCTGGTTGCAAATAATTTATTAAATACTTGGACTTCCACCAGAGAGATAAAACGTAAAAAAGGGAGAACACAGGGTGGAGTTGAAAAATTAAATTGCTACAGATTAACAAACATATCACACTTTGAGCCGATAGGGGAAAACGACCAAAATGGTACTAAAAATACTACTTACTAGTAAGCGATATGGTATAATGAATGTCATAAAATAAATATCATTAACTTATTACAGAAACAGTCAACAAAGTTCTCGGTTTTCTTCATAGGTATGCTTTATTTTTAGTCAAAAACACCATAGAATTCTACTGGTTTAAGACATACTGCTGTGATTCTTAAATATATTTTTTCGCCTGATTTAAATCGTTCAAATAATGGAATGTGTAAAGATTGATGTAACTTAGGAAACCAGTGGGAAACAAGGAGCACCGGAAGGCTTTTTTATCCTGACAAGAGGCTCACTAGCAGTATTCACTCGTCACCAAATCAAAATATGAAACAGAGAACAGTTAGATACTACGGTCAAAGTGCTTATTCCTGTTTAGCTACTGGTAAGGAATATGATGAGCTATAATTTCCAACTTTTAATAACTTCTGATATTGAGGAATAATTGCCATATGCACCTAGGTATTCATCAATTCTCTAGCTGACTTCTCTTTATGGAGCCATTTATCTTGAAGTCAATCGAATCGAAGTAAAGTGGTAAGTAAATAGTGGGAAATTTGGACAAGTTCCAATAAGTTAGTGGGGCAATTAATATACAAGATTCATTTTTACCAATGGTGAATTAGAAAGATATCATAACACTGATATTTTACAAATGCTTTAATTTCATTTATACTGATTTTCAAGAGTGATACTTATTGCTAATCAAATATCCTAATATTACTTACTTATATTTATTTTAACCTAAGAATCAGGAGATTTTTACAGGGTTCTCATATTTATATATAACTCATTACTCTTTGAAAAGATAATTCTTTTTTTTATTCAACCCAACAACCTTTGAAATGATAAATACCTACTAAGAGAGTTGTTCGAAAAATATTTCAGGTTTTGAATGCTGCTGTAAGTTTAGAAAGATATAAAATCGTGAGTCATACAATAGAGACACTTACTCTCTTAACCTGGAGATCTTGGGTTTAATTCCTAATGAAGTAGTGGGTGCGCACCGCTGAAAAATCCCTAACCATGACGAAACAGTCATCCAGTGCTCTCTGGTTTTCAGTGATTCTCCAACTGGTGTAAACTCAAAAAATATCTTCGATCTAAATTATCATTACTTGTGTTATAGTATCCGAAATAATTAAGATACTTGTTGTTCTTCAACAAATTGAAGATGCAAAACCTTGGACACTAATCAGTTACTCAAAGAGTTCATATATATAAACACACTCTTATCAACATATGAAGTTTTCTCAGGTTAGTAATTAAATGAAGTTTGCAGCTTAGTCTGTAATTCCGAACATCTTGGGGACGAATTTCTCATTATATACTAATTTTCGTTACATTTAGATTTAGAATTATAACACCTCTCACTTTATCATTATCGACTGAGCAAAGCTCTAAAGGATATTGTGATGACAGTTATAGTGATATACTTTAGTTGAACATACTTTAAATGAATGCTTTCTTTTGTTTTACTGCCTTTTGAACTAGATAATTTACGAATGTTTGTTGGTTTATGTATTGCATCACTACGGTGTAAACTATCTCTCTCCTTTTCTAAACGAATCTTCTGTTGCTTTGCAGGATAACTGGGGTTTCGATTAATTGGCGCCAAGTCAGTTTCGGATTTCAAAATAGCTCTGTCAGGTGAGGATGAAGACGTACCAGTTGATGGTAAAGTAGGAGATGTTGATGAAGTTGAAACTGAGTTGGGTAGTACTTTGTTGTCGGGGTTTTCAGTGAGAAGGAATTCCAAACCACAGGATAATTCCTGAATTTGCTTTTTAGCACCTGTTTTATTACAGTCACTTGTTGACTTAGACAGAGGTGAATTAACTTGACAAGGATGAATCACTTCTTCTTCGTCTTTATAATCTGATATACTGAAGTTCTTCAGCAGATAACTCTGAATAACGAAACACAGTTACAGAAATATAAATTGCCATTAAAAACGCAGAATTTTCAGTTGAAAAATCGGCTTTACTTCAAAATTTAAGAAATATAGTGGAGGTAATCAATTATTTCTTTTTGTTATTTACTCACAGATGTACAAAGAAGAGATTTTGATTTTAGTTTCATTCACTTATGAGTCTCCTTAACTCAAAAGATTGTCTTTCTCGCTTATAGCAATGATGAACTATTCTGTAACGCATGACAGCTTGTAGAAATTCTAATCATTTGTCCAGAGAGATAAAACACAAAAATAGGGAGAACACAGGGTGGAGTTGAAAAATTAAATTGCTACAGATTAACTAACATATCACACTTTGAGCCGATAGGGGAAAACGACCAAAATGGTACTAAAAATACTACTTACTAGTAAGCGATATGGTATAATGAATGTCATAAAATAAATATCATTAACTTATTACAGAAACAGTCAACAAAGTTCTCGGTTTTCTTCATAGGTATGCTTTATTTTTAGTCAAAAACACCATAGAATTCTACTGGTTTAAGACATACTGCTGTGATTCTTAAATATATTTTTTCGCCTGATTTAAATCGTTCAAATAATGGAATGTGTAAAGATTGATGTAACTTAGGAAACCAGTGGGAAACAAGGAGCACCGGAAGGCTTTTTTATCCTGACAAGAGGCTCACTAGCAGTATTCACTCGTCACCAAATCAAAATATGAAACAGAGAACAGTTAGATACTACGGTCAAAGTGTTTATTCCTGTTTAGCTACTGGTAAGGAATATGATGAGCTATAATTTCCAACTTTTAATAACTTCTGATATTGAGGAATAATTGCCATATGCACCTAGGTATTCATCAATTCTCTAGCTGACTTCTCTTTATGGAGCCATTTATCTTGAAGTCAATCGAATCGAAGTAAAGTGGTAAGTAAATAGTGGGAAATTTGGACAAGTTCCAATAAGTTAGTGGGGCAATTAATATACAAGATTCATTTTTACCAATGGTGAATTAGAAAGATATCATAACACTGATATTTTACAAATGCTTTAATTTCATTTATACTGATTTTCAAGAGTGATACTTATTGCTAATCAAATATCCTAATATTACTTACTTATATTTATTTTAACCTAAGAATCAGGAGATTTTTACAGGGTTCTCATATTTATATATAACTCATTACTCTTTGAAAAGATAATTCTTTTTTTTATTCAACCCAACAACCTTTGAAATGATAAATACCTACTAAGAGAACCCCGCAGTTTCTAATAATCAATAAAACAACAGATAGATCACTTGATAGTAATCAACCTTACAGTCTGGTTCTAAATCCTATTTACAACTCACAGGACGATAAGACTAATCGACACATCATTGCAGTATGGTGTCAGAAATTAGCAGATGAACAGCAGAAAGCCCTATGTACAGATTTCGTGTTCATTAACGAAGTGAATCCACATGGCTAATTAAACTTCATGAATCGAATACTAACCTCCTAAATACAAAGACAGAGAGTTTAGAAGTAACTAAGTAGTGAGACGTAGGGCAGCTTTACCCATTAGCTCCTAACTTTTAAATGAAAACAAGAACTGTTACAGCCTAAAAATAGTATTGCAACTAAATCAACTAGACACTAATTCCTTAAAATGGCAACTCCAGTTCTTGTTTGGTTGTGAGATTATCTTACGTGTCACTTCTAAATTCTATTTTGTTACAGGAAAAGCTATGGCACATAGGGCTTTGGGTGTATGTAGCATTACAGAGACATGAAAGAAATAATCAAGTTGAATTCATCAATTAGGCCCATCTCACAAAAATGATAAATATGCTAAGTTCACTCCAGTGAAGTGATGAGATTGTGCAGCTGTCTTGGAATCTCTGGTAATAATAATAGATTTATTCTGGACAGTGTCAGTCTAAGTGGTAAATCAAACAGTTGCTCATATTTCTCCTCACTAAACTAGTCCTGAAGAAAGAAAAACTCCATGATATTCATAGATTCTTTTCTGTAGTCTTCACACATTCACCCAAAAGTTGTAGCAGAAGATGTCTAGTCGGCGACTGAAAGACACTCAGTTGTATTCAAGCAGCAGGTAATTTTAATCATCAATTAGGGAAGCTAGACTGGTCGGAAATGCAGGCGGAGGCATCTATCTACCTCATATCAACTAAATGCTGGTGGTATTCGGTTTTCAATTTTCTTCACATTATCAACTACTCATGGTCAGCACCAACTTTAGACATAAACAGGCATTCTCCTGGAGACAACCAACATCCACACAACCAGGAACACAGATAAATCACCTTCTGATAAGCTGTCAGTGGAAGAGATCAGTTGAAAACTTTTTCCGTCTCCACTCACACACTACTCCGTGAATAAGTGGCAGTTGTTAAAATTCATTGGATGTAAAAATAAGCAACATGAAAGCTATCGAATGTTCAGCATTCTTATTCAACACGTTACTTATTTATTTAGAGGTATGACAGTAATACCAGTTCTGACGAAGCTTAGAACCAATTACAGTCCGCTTCGTAAACACAGACAACCAGAGGTAAATAGATCCCAGTAGATTTTCCCTGTCACCTTCTAAATGATCAATGTCATGAGAATAATTCCGGTTAACTTTAAAAAAAAACGGGCAGAAGGAGATACCCAAACATAAGCTGATTAAAAGTATTTGCAACGACTGCGAACCCTATTGGGCTACGAGATGAAATAAATGGGAAAGGCTTCAAAAATAGGTAGCACCGTCCATTGTCTACGCTTATTGAAGAAACTGGACTTGAACAAATCAGAACCATCTCAATAAAGGATGAAACTCTAACAGCTTCTCAAGAGATGTCAATGGATTTCAGGACAGAACACTCAGAGGAACAAATCAACTAGCCAAAAGTTGCATGCCAGTTGGAATGCAGACATCGGTTCTCTAAATGTAGCGAAGGTTTCGAAACCTCCCCTTAATGCATAAGCAAGTAGCCCTCAGCCTCTGTAGAAGGCGTATTGATCATATCTCCACCTTTCAAAGGATCCTGGAACACTCGCCTATTCCGTTCACCTGAATATGGAATTGGACTCCGTCGACTGGTAAGTTTTGTGTCAATATCCACCTGTGAAGAGACTGAACGAAAAGGAAATTGTTCCAACCAAGACACTCTAATCAAACGAATTCAGTCTTGTATGACAGTATGGGGAGTCGTCAGCTGCAGTGATGAGAACCAGTGATGTACGTTAGGGATACACAATGTCACCCCGTGCATTTCATTTCATCATACAGACAGATATGCCTTCGGTCGACTTCGATTTCTCACCGATTGACTAATTATCACAGATAAATCCCGTTGATCTAGAGTACGAAAACGATATTCTCTCATTAGGGGAAGGTGCTGAGAAGGCGTGCACTCATCTGACAACCACGAGAGAAAATCTGAGCATATTTGGCACGGGTTTCACTCCTATAAAATGTGAGATGATGCTGTGTGATTGGTTTGCACTGACTCTGAGCTAGAGAGCGGGTTGAGTGTGTTAATCATTTATGTGGCGATGTTTACATTTACAGGCCAGTCAGTTCATAAGCACACACTAAATGTGTGTGCCTTTTGACCATTTAGATACTAACTAACGACATTCCTGGCCTCCACCTTCCCCAGTGAGCGACACTAGATGAAATGCAATCAAGGCATTGGATGTTTATGTACACTACCTCACCGGGGTCCTCGAGGTGCCAATAGTCAGTAGTTGTGAACTGTATGTGACCTGGGCTAGAATCGTTTACACTGGCACAGATGTTTTCACCCCTTGTGGTCTTCGAGATGCTGAAAAACCCTCATTAATCTGCATCTAGTTGACCTTTCTCTCTCTCGCACGCCTTCATACACTGTAGTTTCATTACTTTTTCTATTCTACATTCCCTTTTCTAAAGTGTGAGAACTTGAACTGCTGCACATTTATGAAAAGTTGTATTTCGATAAGTTAGTTAAGCAGTCGGTAAGTTCATCCGTTATCTAACTGTTATTATAAGTTACAATGAAAAGAGAAAGACTGACTGCCTTATTTTAAATTTTATGGAGAAAAATGTCTACGAACCAACAATCTGATCAAAAGTTTACCTGTATTTCCTGTGAAAGCTTCTCTAGAACTGAGACTTCTTTAAGTAATCCTCCTCTAAAAATTAAACAAATGGAGCTTCAATGAAACAACTATTCAACTAGGTATAGCATAAGTATTAGGGAAAAAGTGAAACGCAGAAGTAGGGAGAGGTGGAGACTAGGAGAAACACACAAAGAAGAGAAAAAGGATAATATACGAATAAATTGGAATTCATTGGTGTTGTATCATTATTCAAACAAAGTAGGCTGTAATCCCTACTGCTTTCAGTTTCAAACAATATATCCTGTACATCGAGGCCTCTGAATAGCTCAGCTTTTCAGACGCCAAGTAGAGTGTCATGTTGTATTAATTAATCATAATATTGCACATTTTTTATTCATAGCCACATATTCACAATTCAAAATATACCGATACTCTTCTCCTTTTCTTCGTTTATACATTTAACAAAATTATTAGCGCCACTTCGAATTAAACAATATTTATATGGTTCTAAATTACCGCATTTAGTTACAATTGCTAGCGCTGAGTGTGAAGAATTCCCATTTTTATTTCGTATGTTGTCTAAAACCCAATATATAGTCGGAGTTAACAAAAATACTTAGCTTAAGCCTAAACGCAATCGGAAAATACTTTACGTAATTACTAGTTTCCAATGTAAACACACTTAGAAGCACACAACTTACAGAAAAAAACATAAGAGCATGTGCGCAACCATCAGTATTTATTTCACATTATATCACTTCGCGATTGCAATACAAGTACACATCAAACTACTGGTGTCCGTAGCGTTTCCACAAACTTCAGTTTCCTATTCGTTCGGAAAATTCAAATTTATACAAATCGTTAACTATGTTAGGTTTAGGATACATTTCCTTTTGATCTACCTTCGCTTGTCATTTCGATACAAATTGTGCCTGCGATTCAGTTACATTTAGATTCTGTATGTAGTTATTAATATAATCCTCTGAAACAATTAGTTGTAAGTCCAGTTTCCTTCTTTTCAGCCTTAGAATTTCATTATCAATTTGCATTAATTCCAACAACAACTCAGACTTTTCTGGCTGTGAATTTGTGTTTCCTAACTTAGGTCTTGTTATTGATGATGAGGAACTGGAAACAAAAGTCATTGAACAAGTTTCTTCACAATCTTTCTCAGCATTAGCATGTTTCATGTTAGTATCATCCGGACATTTTGTCTCCAGCCAATCGCTTTCAGGTGTGCATGATTTGGTGGGATTGAAGGAGTCTGAATTCTGTAATAAATATTTGTAATTCGACATGAATAATACTACGATTGACATTATTTGGTTGAACATCAGTGCAGTACTACAGTCCTGTGAAGTAGATTCACCAAAACTCTGGTTATTCGTTAAAATGCCGCCTTTGTCACAGGTAAAGATGCTTTCCGAAGGAACATCTTGGTTTCCATAAATATTTTTTGTAGTCACATTCTGTAATTGGCTGCTTTTGTGAGAAATCTCGCTTCCAATATAATCAGTCGTTCTCGTGTTTCCTCCAAATTCAGCTTCCGTATTATCTAACCTAATACTGTCTTCCAATTCATCACTCCTTAATGATTCACAAAATATTCCACTATCACATGTTGCACACCCCTCTGATGCTTCTTCCAAAAAATTAGCAAACTCAGTGTCTTCCTTTTGTACTGTATATTCGCTTAATACTTGACGTCTAAACTCACAAATCTCATAGAATATACCTTCAAGATACCCGCGAGTGTTATCAGGAAATTTTTTATTGCTGCCGTCGCTATATTTTCCACTTGTTAATTGTCCGTAAGTCAATCGTTGTTTGGCCCTGCTTTTAGTTCTTTTCCACCAGTTTCTTAACTGCAGGGCTGATCTTGGGTTAGAACTAGGGAATTCACTTTGCAGTTTCCTGGAAATATGTTGCCACAATAAAATCTTTCTGCTTTTTGTTTCAGAATGACTGCTTGGCGATTCTATGATATTTGGGTACCGTTGAACTTCTGATAACAAAAACCGCAATTCTTTTTGAGTATATCTTTCTGCTCTATTTCCGACTTTGCATAGTGCATTGTTTGGTAAGTGTGACATTGAGCACGAAATCTAACCAAGACTTTCAAAGTGTCTATTGCAGCAGCACATTCTTTGACTCAAATAAACAAGCAAACGTCCTATGTCCAAGTTTGAAGTAAGGAACATCACTTTTGGCTCAGAGTGATTCATTCACTAATTTCAGTTTGAATTTCGCAATACAGAAGTAGATGATGCCAGGTTTCTTTTTTGTTTTCAAGATTTTTAGTTCCAACTTCAGTTAGACTTCATCTGACCAAACGGACCTCTGCTGATCTTCTTCATGCCTGTGCCACATGTAGATTTACACTGCTGGGTTGATGACTGCCCTCAAAATTTTCCATAGAGCTCAAATTTTTGCCTCTGTGTGCAATTTACATCTGTCTGGGGTTAGATATGTCAGCATTCACGAACATAAACCAAACATTATTTCTAGCTAATGTCAAAAGGTTTTTAGAGGCTGAAGATATTGCCGTTCTCGGATAGTACGAAGTATACTAACGCAAGATCTAATACCCATAATTTCTACAGTATTCGTTCCACGTAGACCAAAGTCAAAGCAAAACACCAGAATTGATCGTCCAAATTACGAATTATATTTCGGGACCACATCCGAGTGCCGGATGATTGCTTAACTAGCTAGGCATCGTGCACGAACGAACGGACGAGACATGTCAGAGTACCGAACAGCGTGAATGCCTGGCCGGAAGCCTTCAGCTAAATGAGTTGACCTTAACAGTGAGGGTCAGCATCCAATATTCCGCGATAATGCTGTGGCAAATAATTCTGGGGAATTACCTACCGCTACATGTTCATCACTTTAGAATCCTTCATGCACTGCGTGTAACCTGGTTTCTCTCGTCAGTAATCCTGGAATCTCTAGTGATCTATCTCAGTCTTGGAATACGACTATTTTGTGTAAAAAATGGTGAAAATTCTTGGAAATATTCTGGAGCATATTGCATTTTAGTTAACAAACCAAATGGGTTGGGACGCGTTGTAACCAGTAATCACTGGCTATTGTAGCATACACTAATTTAAACATCTGTTTTGTGTTTATGTAAGCCCAATTCTGCCTTGAAAAGACCTCCGCTTCCATTACTTCAAGTCTGTATTTCCACCATGGTACGAACTACTTTTGCAGATTTGTCCGTTTCTAAAATCGAGGGTTGAAGCAGACCAGGAAACCCGTTCACTACCTCCGTTTACAGAGATGCTACTTTACGGGTGGCTATTAGGTTCAGACATGCTGGACAGTTGATAATACGCTTTGTTGACAGACTTCAACAGTTTGTCACTTACAGGATCTGTCACTAGTATGTGTTAATCTAAGAAGTCAATGTACAAGATGACGGTACATCTGCGGGATTGAATGACACACTATTGGCCCTCTGGTGGCCGAAAACGAAATTCACGTGTTTCCATCTCTGCGCAATAATACCGGACATATTGGCAAAAAAATGTGCTGCCCGTGAATCAGGCTGCAATCTGTTTATTAAAATCCGTATACATATATACGACCTCTAATGCGCCAAACGCTGTGTACGAATAAATGCCGGCGTAGAATATCAAAAATGAATGCGTGGAGAATCGTGAAATTTTATCAGTATCGAAGTTAAAACCTTAAAGTATATTTAACCATGCAATGTGCAACAAGATAATCAAAAACCAACGTTAAATTATGCAACGGTATATATTCGCCAGATATAAATAAAGCAGTTTCTGTGTAATTCCAAAACAGGTGCATGAATTAAGTTTAGAAATGTTGGGTTAGATTTATTACGGTGGAGAATATCATAACTCGCTTATATTCAACTGAAGACGCTACAGGACCAAACATTTTAAAACCCCGCTCTGAATATGAGACAATCAGCTTTTCCGTGTGGTAAATGTGGCAAAATAACAAGCAAAATCGAACTGCGTCTTCCATAGTCTTGAAATCTTGATGCTTTCTTGGTTCATTACTTGTCACCATATTTAACCAGTTGATCATTACGAAACATTAATTACATCATCCAGTGTTGTAACCTCACATACCCTGAAGACGCTTTATAGGAAGTCAGCTCACAGTTATGACTCTCCAATAGCGAGGTTCAGTCCAAGGAATCCTATCGAAGAGGGGTGAGATAATACCACACTAAAATGTGCAACAAGATCAATATGAGCAGCAAAGTCCCTTGATTTGAAAACGAAATTTTAAAACCTACATCTTTGGACACGAGAAAGAAAGCCACGTCAGCAAATGAAGGAGGGTTAATGTATCTACCAAGGTACAAAGACATATAGTAGCTGTAATATCGCAGAACATGTCAGACACTGTGAATGCTGCATAAGACTTAGACAGTTCTAACACTCTGTTACCTACAAAAAAATATTAAAATAATGTGAAGCGTGAACAGTAGCTATTTCTGGCTATTTACCTGACTAAGAGTATTTCCATCAAATCATACGGAGAAAACGGCATCCTCATTCCATATAAAAACGCTACTTGCTTTCAGTTAACCAAAAGAAAAATAACTACAGAATACCAATGTATTAGATGACATGAAACAAATTATGTGAAGGAACTTAACCCTAAGTTCCTATGGTTACGAAGACGCTCCGAACCGATAATTACTACGACTGATTCTCGACTTTAACACCAAAACACCAGTGTTTGTAAGTAGGAAGTTGTATTATTTGACAATTAAAATCGAGGTCAGTACATAGTCTCTAAGCATATGTTTTACAATAAAAATGCTGTACTTTTATTCGTATTCTTTCGTCTTCTTCCAACTTGTACACGATTGAACCATTCGCGCCTTCGGGTTGCCCGCCGGTGGTGACCAAGGCCAATGAACCAGCGTTCACTGTTCACTTCCATCGAAAACTTATCTTCATGCGGCGAGCAGAATAGCTCAGCGGACACCCTGCCACTCACCAAAGTGTGAGAGTGAATCGTGGCAGCCAAGAGGGTGTTCGGCGAAAATTGACTTGTTACTAACCCGTCACACTTCCCTTGACGGTTCCAATGTAATGGAAAATTTAATGGATGAAAATCGATCATACATGATAAAAGATTTAAGAACACCAGGACGAATTCTCTTATGGTTGAATTTCGCAACTTGAAATGACGGAAAGTCGTATAACACAAGAGATATATCTGTTTACACGAAAATCCTCAAACTTTCAAAGAGCTTACGGCTGTTCAACTTTCGTGCCTGTTTTAAACCATCCGAAGTACGAAGTATATCTGAATATCAAACACGTCAGTCGATGGGTAATGCTTATATGATGAAGCTTCCCGCATTGGCGAACGAGCGTTGCACTACAGTGTACCAGTTTGCCTGGATAATTGGCTGCGTACCTTCAGTCTCGCTATTCGACTTAAACAGTGAAGGTGAATCCAATGTTGAGTGAAGTATTCTGTAGACTAATAATCTGGAGGAGTTGTTTGTCGCCTTAATAAATTGACTGCTGACACCCGTCATCCAGGAGTCTACAAGTGAACTGGATTCCTTCCTCACCACCAAAGATGCCTGTGAGGACAAACGATTTCAAATGGTTACAGACCTTATAAAAGATAATTGACACGGAAGATTCAAACTTTCTTCAAGTGCTCCTACTCCTGAGCTATTTGGGAGATTGTAAAAAACATGCGTAAGACCACACACGGAAGTAAACGATACAATTTCTTCCCCAATACTCAAAAAAGATACCAAACTCACGAAGAAGCCAAGGACTGCACACTAAGACAATGATGGCTTCCCGAGGTAAACCATATCATAAATGGCTGAAGAAATTGAGTCTAATTAAATTTAGCTGTCGCTGTCTTAAGAGGACTTATTAACTGTTTGGAATCACCCAAACAATAGTAATCCGCCCTTAAGTATGCACCTGCTTCCTAGTGACAATCTACGAAATATTGCTCGCCAGAGAGGAAAGAATCCAACGCGCTCCAGTTTCTTTTCACTTTGAGTTTGCCACCCTGGGATCTCTACAAGCAGATGTCGATGTTACATTATTCGTAGAAAGTTTTAAGTGGAGGCTGAACAATAATGCAGTGATATAAGCAGTGCGTTCGAATAGTCTATCCCTTGAAAATTCACTCACAATTAGTGGATATGCATTAACTCCTGTGGTTGGGTAGGTGACTCTAGAACATGAAATTTCATTAAAAACTGAAAGTTATTGGTCAAAAGTAATAGAAAAGCATCAGTATGTTACGAATATTTGAAGAAGGAAATATTGTTTTATTGTTTAAAAAAGTAAGTGTTACCACAAACAAAACGGTGGTTTTTCAATGTTGTACTCTTTCAGTTACCTTATTTAATTCGTATTTCTGTCAAATATACATTTACACAGCTTTGCCTCTAAACATTTTAGTTGATTTTAACAATAATTCTGCAGGGATTACTATTTAATCTTTGCTCTACAGTAACTTCTTAGCATTATTTGTTATCTGATCAGATAGCATCAGGATAATGATTCATTATTTTGATGTTGTTCGGTAAGTGATCACCCTGGCAGCAAATATAAAGAATCACACAAGATTGCTCCATTCGTCACTATCCTTATAAATTTGCAAAATACCTAGGTGCTGACACATTTATTCATGTGCCAATAGAATGAATACTGCACTTTTTCGTTACAGTTTTAATTTTAATATGATTCGAGTGCACTGGGAATTCAATTAAAACCTGTTCCAAGCCTGTTTGAATCTACCACTTTCAGTACTCTTAAATGACTGGATAGAGATTTTATTTCAATCCCCAGTTATCATTGACCTACGTGCATTACAGATCTTCGAGGCAAACTTCTAGGCGGAAAAAGATCGGTTTCTTGACTGTCTTAATATTTCAGCTATGCATGGATGAGATGGAAATTTTCCAACATAAATGCACCTTTAAAACGGCTGATAGTATTGTGATATTATACGTGTAGTATTCTCACAACACAAACTTAGATGATATGTCCGATTTGTGTAAATTTGCATGATCATACAAATTACTGGTACAAACTTTATCAATGGAAACTTCCAA